TAAAAAATTTATATCTTTATGTTTGAAGCCTGAAATGTGGCAAAAGGTTGAAAAGTTCAAGGGGGCCGAATACTTTCGCAAGGCACTGTACCTATCTGAATACCTATCAGATCAAGACATTTCAGTGTTTTATAGTCACATATTAAGAAATTCCACATATTTTTTCAACTTTGATATTATAGAGTAAGTTCTGTAGATCAGTGACAAAAATTCCCAAATAAAAAACATTACATATTGTGAAAAAAATACAAGAGGGGTGAATATTTCTAAAGGCACTGTAACACTGCAGTCAACACTGTAACAGTCCTTTGTTTGGTTTTGCTCCATTTCTAAAGGCATTTTAAGTTAATTTGCATCCTTTATTAGAGTAAAATATAAATGAGATTTCTTATGTTTCATGCAAAGATGTTCTCTGCTTCAGATGATCAGATAATGGAAGTATGAAAGGAATGGTATATAAAGATAACATATCTCAGGGTTTATTATTTTGCACATTATTTTGTATTTCACAAGCTAAGGAAGATAGTGTGGTAGTTTAGTTTTTACATGCCACTTTGAAGCACAGGTCTGTTACAATGACTGTTCCAAATATCAATTCATATCTTAAATGATAAACTGATTTATCACGAATAATTGTTTTTGAAATTAAATGCATTTTGTTGAAAGTTATCAAGAATACTGCATACAATCATATTTCCAGTAATTTCATAATAACAATCATCTGTTATTTCATATTCTTTTTTAACATGTATTTTCTAGAGCCCAAGCTAATTCCATAGAAAAGGAGACCGAAGGGGTATTCATATATAATTTCTGAAATGTGTACTGTAAGCTCCTGTTGAGATTATATGATTGCATGATACCTGAAAACTTATAATTGAACATCACTTTTCATTGGGCTGTTTTAAGACATTGTTTAATTGTCATAATTGCTTTTAATAACAAAGCTAAAAAGCCATATAAGTTTTTAAACAGCAGTGTATAATGATATTCGGTACGTTATATTAAACATATTTTGACCTTAAGTGGTCTTTTAATTACTCAGACAGCACTCATGAAAGGCAGTGTTCTCTCCCACTTGCTGCTTTTAAAATATGAATGTATATGAACTGTATATACTGTAGTAATGCAAAAGAACAGGTAATGGGTTTATTCCATGCTAAAAAAGAAAAGGAAGGAAACACAACGTTTTGGCTGTGGAGCCTTCTTCAGGTGGGGATAGTATATAGTAATGATGTGACTGTAGAACTTGCATCTATAGAGTAACTTCATCTTGTATTTCTTTTCCACCCCTATGGTGTCTCTTAAGAGCTTTGCAACTCATAATAGATGCCCGCTTGCTCTACTGTATCATCAGGTCTGTCTTTTAGGAAGAAGCTGTTGGAAGCTGCTTTCCAAAATAAGCTTCTAAGAGCCCTGACAAAATGGCACATTGACTAACACCTAATTTACTATTTATGAGAATTGTAATTTGAGATAATCCCAGGCCTGTTTGTGTGCCATTAGTGTCAAACTTACATCTGTTACATCTGTATATAGTTTATATATACAGTATATTATATATTATATATATTATTTATCCAATTGTAAAACATTGTTAATATTTTTTGCAGTTGTGTGTTTTGCAGAGCTGATGAACTTTTCACTGACTATGAATCCAAACTCTTCTCTCACACGTAAGTATATGGTGTTAATTTAAGATACTGTAAACTGAATATTGAATACTGTCGCTATTCACAACACACAAGTTTGGAAGCACTGCAAACTGTAATGAAGGACTGACTTTTCTAATTTCTTCTCTCATAATACAAATTTTGACATTTCTGAGTGTGTAGCCCTCTATCCTTTAAAAGCATGCCACTGACCTGAAATATTCATTTAGATATAGTGGCACATCAATGTGGATTACCTGGCTGTAAATTGATAAAACATCTAATGAAGACATCTCATGACTGTTTAGTCCGCTTTGAACACAGCTTTGAACAAATCATACCATAGCTTCTTTCACAGTATTTTATGCAGAAAGAGATATATATAAGTAGGTACCTGCGTCAGCATGCGTAGGTTGCAAAGGAACAAGTAAAGGTTTATTCCATTCTAAAAAGAGAAGAAAAGAAATACAACATTTCGGCTGTGGAGCCTTCTTTGAGTGTGAGAAAGAGAGGGAAGTCAGCAGATGATATCATAGGAAAACAAAAGCTGGGAGTGTGGGAGCAGAGGGGAGGCAGAGTGGGCACTCAGGTGGTGCAAAGTCTAGAGAGGTGTGAAGTTGAAACCTGCAAATAGAGAGGATTAGAAGGAAACGAGTCTGTTATTGAGAGAAGGGGGAAGGTATAATCCTAGCTTCAGGATAATTTTGGTTTCAGGTGTCTTAAGAAACCCTTCTTTGAGAATGCAGACAGAGAGATCAGTGTGATCATGGCCGTTAGAGGTGAATTGAGAAACTATGGACTCGGAGGGATCTTTAATCCTCACAGCCCTAACTCTGAAGCAGTCTCCGAGTCTCCATCCTGTTTCACTGATATAAATAGCTGGGCATTTTCTGCAAGAGATGCAGTAAATGAGGTTGCTGAAGGTACAAGATGTCATCTGAGTGATCGGGAATTGCCCTGAAGGGCCTTGAATGAGTGTGGTGTTAGATATATATTTGCAGGTGATACAGCGAGCTCTGTTGCAAGGGAAAGTACCTACTGTGGATGATTGTTGAGGGCGGTCAAGGGAGCTATGAACAAGAAGGTTAGGCAGATTAGGTGATCGGCAGTATGAGATGATGGGGCGTTCAGAAAAGAGGTATCGATGGAGGGATCATCCTGTAAGATGGGGAAAGAAAGGGTGTTAGGGTGGTAGGGAAGCACCAAAGGAATGCAGTTGTGAGGCCAGTAGTTCCTGATTGAGTTGATGATCTTAGGGCTGTTTTTGGCTCGGGTGAGGGCCCTGTCAATAACATGGGTGGTGTATCCCCTTATCTTATCTGATCTTATCCCCTGTTGATGAAAAAAGTGCATTTTGAGTGCTTGGTTTTGGAAATCCATGTTGTCACTGCAAAGTGGTCAAAGTGTGAGGAACTGTGAAAATGGGAGAGTTTTTAGTATGTTTGGGGTGAAATGAGCTATAGAGGAGATCGTTGTGTGAATCTGTGGGTTTGTAATAGACTAAAGTAGAGGGTCATGGATGGTTAATGGATAGGTTTATGTTTAGAAATGGAAGATTATTTAATGTTCATTACTGCTATTAAAGTTGCTAGTGGAAGCAGTACACCTAATGACACATAAGAAAATATAAAAATCATATGTTGAGCTTTGACGTATGATATGCAGTACATTAAATATATTTGTCTTACTTGTCTCCTTGTTATTGCACAACATTCAAACTTCCAGTGTCAAGGGACAAACCGCCATCTTCGAGGAGATGATTGAAGACGAGGAAGGCCTGGTGGATGACCGGTTGCCAACTACCAGCCGTGGGCTGTGGGCGGCCAGTGAGATGGAGCGTACCCTGAAGGCCATTCTCTCCTTTGCCAAAGCTCGCCGTATGGACGCCAGCCTCCTTGAAGAAGGGACCACTTTTCTGGAGATGTTTGAATGCTGGAAGAAAGAATACAAAGTATGTAAGGCACCATTGATACAACTGGCTTAAAAATTTGGTGTTTTTTTTTTTTAATAAGGAATTTTTAAAATCTTGTTTTTCTTATAGACTATAGCAGCTGCACAAAGCTGACCCATTTAGATAAATATTGTTGAAGGAGTAGAAGAATTTCTTTTTTTTGGTCACCTGGATTTTACTGTGGAGCTCCAGAAAATAAGTTGAAAGGCGGCATTCTGGCAAGGCTCCTGTCTGTCTTTCTGCTTAGTTGCTGCACGAGTACTGGATGGTGCTAAGGGATCATGTCTCGGCCATTGACGAGCTGGGGATGGCAACGGAGCGCCTGCGTGTGCGACATCCTGATGAGCCCAAGCCCAAAGTGCTCCACATCATTGAGCCTCACGAGGTCAGTGCTACAGGCCAGACAGAAAGATAAGGCAGGAGACTAAGGGAGTGTGATCTCAGTCACCAGGGCCATATTGGATAAAATGACTCTGTAATACATATTGAGAGGAGGAGAGACTTAGCTCCTTGGGGCGGCACAGCAGGGCAGTGGTTGGCATTGCTGCCTTGCAGTGCTGGGGCCCTGAGTTAAATTCCTGAGGTGCTACCTGTGTTGAGTTTGTATGGTCTCCGTATGTTTCCGTGGGTTTCCTCCGGGTGTTCTGGTTTCCTCCCACTGACCAAATACACAATGGCACGTTACTTGACTTCTGTGAAAATTGGCCTGGGTATGAGTGCATGCGTGTCTGTGTGTGCCCTGCGATGGACTATTGTTGCAGGCAAACATCATAAAACAAATCACAGAAAAATGTTTCAATGTTTCAAATGTGAAAATGCTTTCAGGCATTAATCAGTCCTGCATATGGCACTTTTCCTCAGTCACTCTGATGTACTCAAACTATTTTCATTTCCTTTTAGGTGGAACAAAATAGAGTGAAACTATTAAATGACAGGGCTGTTGCAAAATCCCAGTTGCAAAAGAAACTTGGGCAGCTGTTATACCTTACAAATCTTGAAAAGGTAAGATGTAATTTAGAATACAGAATCTCCTTTCCTTTCATGAGGAATTAACTGTGGAATTTACTCTAAGAGAATAATGGTTTCCCATTTTGGGTATTAAATTGTTTTTTCCCTTCATAATTTGATGCATTCATGTTTAATTTAGCTCTGAAATTACATTTTGCCTTTATTAAATCTATGTCTGAAAACATACAGTTAATATTTCTTTAGCATTGCATTTTATTTTAATTTGTAATTACCTCAGCTTTTATGTATCCAGAAGTAAGCATTCCAATGACTCTTCCAAGATGAGTTTGCCAAAAATTTATAGAAATGTATTAGGATATATTAAAAAAAACATTTCATCGATAATGGTACTTAAATTCATGAAGAGGGTTAAAGGTGCTGTAAGTAATGCTTAACCATTTGTAGGTCATAAGGTGAACTGAGAATAAATACACTTGTAATTAGTATTATAAATCTCCTAATAATTAATTATGTTTTTAAAGTCACAGGATAAATCCACTGGGGGCCTGAATCCAGAGCCTTGTCCGATCTGTGCTCGACCACTCGGACAGCAAGTAAGGTTTCCAGACACTTGAAAATCGTGAGCAAATGTTTAAGAGTCTGAAGACAAAATCAGGGCAGATATGTGACTGAGTAATATTAAGTCTGCACTCTATGTTGAGGATTAAGGATTTGTTTATGGTTAAGAGGAGTTGTGATAAAAACTAATGTTGCTATTAGTATTTAAGGATAAGATTAGGGTCAATGTTAGTGGTAAGGGTTAGAATTAAGGGTTGAGTTTAGTTAAGATGAGAATTTGTGTTTAGTTTTGAGTTATTACTGAGTTATTAATAACAAGGTGAGTGGCATGTACTACAGAAAAGAAATCTTGATTTAAGTGAAGGTCCTGTACCCACAAACTAAATAGGTTGAATACAGTAATACAGTCTTTCTGTATATGATTATAATGTTGAGTATATTTTTTATAGACTGAAAACAAGCATGTGTAAAAAAAAAACAGTTTGTTTAATTTGTTGTTTTAAATTAAATGTATATGCAAAAGTGTATTGTGGAACATTTTCGAAAATAAGTATAAAATACTAAAGTGATATTAGTTTTTCTATATTAATTTTACCTGATGCTGTAATTCTAATTATTAGTTTTTTTTTGTTCAGCATTCAACATTCAAATTAGATCGTGCAGCTGTACTGTGAGAGTGATTACTGATGTGAATTTAAATTTCCACAAAACAAGAATTTGCCTATGAATAATTGTGATGTACTGTAGATTGACATGTTGTTTTTGTGATGCAACTTTGCTTGGATTTTTCCAGAAGTCTTTTCTCTAGAGGGGGTCATGTTAGGTGTATCAGGATGTTTCATTGTGTGATCTGTAGGGTTTTGTCTCTGCACTCTAGAGACTTTAGTCTCTCTGAATTACTGTGAGTAATTTACAGTTAAAGAACAGTGAGAACACAACACAAATATTTTGCTCTTCAAACCTTTCTCTTAATATTCATTTAATAGCATGTTGCCATTCTGTAAAAGAAATGGAACCACCTGCTATGCTTAATCAAGAGATAGTACTAGAGTACATTCTGACCCTAAAGGAAGATTGGAATTGTAACGTATTTTTTCTTGTTTGGTGTTAAACATTTTTCTGTTTAATCCTGATTATGATTATGATAGTGCTATTTATTCTGTTTATTCTGTTCAAGTAAAGTGTAAAGTTCAAGTGTATTCTATTGTCCTAAGCCAAGAAAAATATCTGGTAATGCTGCATACACTGTATATAGAATTACTAAGCTATAGTTCTGAGTGAAAGCAAAATTGAGAACTGGAGACAATTTCTCAAGTCAATAAAAGAAGGATGTGTATTTGGAAGCCACTAGTCAACTATGATTGACCCCATTAAAATGAGACTACATCTGCCTTTGGAGCCGGTATCAGTATAAAATAAATGACCAGGCTTCAAGAGACCTTATCCCCATTTCTCTTTTGTGAAGTTACATCCATCTAATATTTCCACATGGAAATCAGAAGTAAGGCTTTTATCATTGTCAATTTTCAACTAAAGAAAAGGCCTGCTGAAGGGTTCTTGTAAAACGCAGTATTTCCACAAACACACTAGCATTTTGTTTTTTTTCACAGTGGGCAGTTTTGACTTGTGGCCACTGCTTTTGCAACGAGTGTATTGCCATCATTGTGGAGCAGTACAGTGTTGGGACCCGCAGGAAAGCTATCAAGTGTGCTATCTGCAGACAGACCACCTCCCACACCGAGATCTCCTATGTGTTCACCGCTGAGACTGCCAATCAAGGACAGGAGATCCCTGTCAAGGTATCACGGGCCTGTCAGAAGCTCTATTTTGTCCTCCTTTGCTTCATATCCCAGCATCCTTTCTTTCTCTCCCTCACACCTGAGGAAGGTTTATTTTCTTTCTACTTTTCAACATGGAATTGACCCCCTACTTCTTTCTTTGCGGCAGATGCACCAATGCAGCTTCACTCTAATCTCTTACAATACATACATAATTTAATACCCTTGCATCTAGCTCTGTATAAAATTATTTATTATATTTTATGCCTTCAGTTGTATTTTGTTTTGGTATAATGAACCAGGCATTCTTAAAATGTTGAATAGTACCATATTCATGTAATGATTTAATCCTTTAATGATCTTTGTGATTATTTCTTCAGTACTGTGTGCTTCCACTGATGGGTAAACTTTCCTTGTCTTCTGCAGGGTAGCCATTCCACAAAGGTAGAAGCTGTAGTGAGAGCCTTAAAGAAGATCCAGATGACAGACCCCGGGGCCAAATCGCTAGTCTTCTCCATGGTAAATTTACAGTTACAATGATGAAAATTGTAAACCGTTGATTTAAAAAACTATCACTAACACTAGCTTACATCAATTTAATTTGGATGAAAACAAGCCCTAAAAAATAATATATATTTTTTGGTTGTCTAGGAAGTAAAGTTCTTTGCAGAATGGAGCAGTGAGTAAACTAGTTAAACTAGTTAAAAGTAAAAGAAGCCTTTTTCTGTACAATCTACAAATCTACAGTGATAACTGGTTGTGTTCTACATTCTACAACATGCTATCTCACAGGAAACAGGCAAGGAATGAGCTGGCATGAACAGCTTCACTGCTGTGTAATTAATGACATGATCAAGGTCCTAGTCTGGGGATCTAAAATTGCATTTTACTGATCAGTGTGAATGTCCCACTAGTTTTGTGAGATTTAAGAACCCATCAGAGATGCTGTTTTTTCATATTGAATTAATTGGTGTCGCTAAATTGTTCTTGTGTGTTTGTGTCTGCTCTGTGATGTTAATTATAGATCTGAACATATTAGACTTCTGTCTTCTGCAGAAACAGCCAACAAAGAACTCTACCTGGCAACTGAGGCACAAATACTGCACAAGGAATTAGAGAGAGGGAAACTGAATCCTTCAGATTAAGATCTTGCTTAGAACTAAGTTTTTCTAAAACAGATACTGAACAAATAATACATCACTAAATAATGAGATGTATCTTTTCACCTGGTGGAGAGGAATTCAGAATATTTAACATATAAATCAACAGTCCTTCACTCAGGGCATAGTGTGTGAAATTTTCTCTGCTTAAAGTGGGAGAGTAGTACGGAGTTATTGTTGGAAGGAAATTAATTTAAATCCCAAGTGAGAGACACTGCTGTTGTACTCTTGAGCAAAATACTTCACTTGAATTGTTCCAGTTACTCAGCTGCATCAATGCAAATGTAATAAACTAATAATAACTTTGGATCCTTGATTTGTGAAAATAGTTTTTCCTTGTAGTTTATTCTCCTTATTACTTTGCTTTTTCTCTTCTCTTCACACGTCCCTGTTCCTGTCATTATTTTATCCTGTCTTCTCTGTTGATATTCTCAGAAGGCTAACATTGTTTCACAGCAATTAGTTTAATATGAGTTAAATATTATAACAGCTGTTTGGCTATGTTTACTGCTTCAGGTACATGACAGAACCATGACAGCTATGAAATACTCTCAGGGATGCATGTTGCTTTACTTCTTTATAATAGGGTGGTGCTTTGATGTGAAGCCATCATTTGTATACTCTCCCACATGTAACAGTGCAATGTACCTTACAAATTGAAACTGCATTAAAACTTTTTTTGTATTGAAAATATAATGTATCTTTAACTGTTGTGAAAAAATATGTGATTTGTTTTTTTTATGTGTTTGTATTACAGTGGCAAGGTGTACTGGACATCATTGCACAGGCCCTGTATGACAACAATATGGAGTTTTCTCAGATCAATGGGATTCATAAATTTCAAGTGGGTGCTATTTCTTTGTTACTAATAAATAGAAAGATTTGTGCTTTTTAACAAAATCTTCATTTTGTGAATGAGGGTTAGATAATAATCTGTTTAAGTGTGCTTTTTGTGGGTTAGGGTCGGCTAGGGTAGTCTTCAAATTTTATTTTTTCAAGATCTGATTAGTCTACTATTAAATACATTTCTACTGACAGAAACTTCATGCAGTATTTCAAAATGATTAAAACATTTCTATAGCTTCCCCTGAGCACTTGAATTTTTCAGTCTTCAATCCTGACTCACAGAGGCCAGATTAACATAAACTGCAGTCATGTTTTTAATGGGAATATAGATGGATGTGAAGGCCATAGCAGATTGTATGAAAATATTTATGGATGTGAGTCTCCAGAAGCCTGTTGTAATCTTTGATACGCGTTTATCTTACTGTTCCTCCACCCTTGCTTGCTTGTGAATTGTATTCTGCAAAACTAATTGTCATCCTAAAGGAAAGCTGTTAATTTCACAAAATGGACATAAACTGGTAAATCTTTATTTGGTAAAGCTCTTCTTTCTGGAGTATTTCTGATACTTTTCCTACTGCCCAAAGCAGAATTTGCTGCTGTTTGTCATCTTTGGTGAGAATTCTGTTGCACCCTCGAACACAACATTGTTAATGACTTCATCAGGATTTCTGTGTATCTTTTGTAATCCTTACTCTGTTGATTATGACTATGGAATGAATGAATATCATCATGAATAATGTGTGTAAGTAGGTTAGGTAGTTATTATTGTTATTAATCTTGTGGTAGTCATCTTTAGTTTTTAAACTACTGAGACACTGTCTAGTGCACTAACACCTCTTTGTACCATTTAGCACAAAAGTTTAAGTACTTTGTGGTATGATTAAATATTTTGTATTTAAGATTTAATTTTGATACGATAGTGTTTAGTTTAAAAGGCACCCTAAGACTTCCATCTTTTTTACTGCCAATACTGTACTGAGGACCATCCTAAAGTGAATATGTAAAATATTGACCTACTTCCTTTTACCAAACACTAAATCACTTCCAATACATGAGTTAAAGTATAAGAGTTACTTTAAGAGATTTTTCTTTAGTGGAACAAAGTCTGTATGCATTATTGTCTTCATATGTGTAGAACTAGTGGGAATAAAAACTCTTCAGCAACAGACTCAGTAGATCAACCCCTTTTCTTAAGCAGCTCACCTGCTTTTAGAGAGTAAGTTTCCAATAACCCTTCCTCACATCTCACACTCATTTGTTACCAAAATAGCCAAATCGGTCCAGTCCCGTCAGTCAGCAGACTGTCATGGGTGCTCCTTTCATTTACTCACCAACAGGCAATTACTGCTTATAAGTACAATAGATTCCAATTAACTCTAATTACCATCATACAAACCAGCCATCAGCACACCCCCTGGAACTTTCCTTAAAGGTCCCAAAACTAGCCTATTTTAAACAACCACACACCAGGTTAGCATCTCCGCCTGACAAAACAGGGAATTACTCTTGAACCCTTCGGTAGATCAGTAGACTGGCACATTTTTTAAGGGTTTCCCTCACAGCACATCATTTTTTCCCATCTTTTAAAACACTGAAATATAACACACTATGTGTTCCATCTGTATTTATCTTTCAGGAGAACCTTTCGTCCTTCAAATATGAGGAAAAAATCAACATATTGCTGCTTCCTTTGCATACTGGTTCTAACGGGCTGAACATAATTGAGGCCACCCATGTACTTCTTGTAGAGCCCATCCTCAACCCTGCTCATGAGCTGCAGGCCATAGGCAGAGTTCACCGCATTGGACAGACAAGGTTACCCGCCACTCCTAGCTCTCTTCTGTTTTATTCTGTAAAGAAACTATTGGATATACAAGTACTCTACAGAACAGTAATGAGAATACTGAATACAAGTGCAGACTGAAGCATTGGCACTATTTGTTTAAATAATGTTTAAGCTAGTTTAAATAATGTTTTGATTGTTTTTATTTATTAATATCTTGTCAAGGCTTACTGACCAGTGATCTGTGCTTTTGACTAGTAAGTTGCAGATCTTAAATGTTGTACCCTGCTGTTAAACATGAGTTGGTTCACCTAGAATCTTTACTACTACTCATTAGGATAGATTAGTTTATAAAACAAATGGCATTTATTTGCACTAAATGAGTTACTGGATAAAATTATTTAAGATAGAAAGTTCCTGTATGTTTGTGTTTATGTTAAACATGTTTGTGTTTAATTATCGTTTGGTGAAAAGTCTATACTAAATTTGCTTTCGACTTGTTTTCCTTTGGTCTGCTTTTGTACAATAACATCTAACATAAAAAAACACTTATGACATCTACAGCTGTAGATGTACAGTGTAGCGAAACAACATATAATGGATAATAAGAACAGTGAAATCAAGGAGGGTTAATGAACATAATAACTTAATCTTTGCCCATGTATTCCTTAATCAGGGTGGCTTTTTTCATAAGAATAAATAAAATACAGACAGTGTAGGAGTCATATGTTGGATAGAGTATGTGTTTCACTTGTAGCTAACCAAATACATTACAGAGGGTCCCAGTTCAGTTCCAGTCACATTCCTAAATACTGCAATTAATAGCAAAATGGCTTAGAAAGTTGAAGTGACATTCATAATGTAATTGACCTGAGATAAATTCCCAATATACAGTTTACACACAGGTACTGTATGTACATTTAATGTACCGTACATATTAACTCATAAAAACAATAAATAGAAATAGCATCACAAACTCCTTTGTAATTTTGGTCTTGTCAAAACAAACAGTCATTCACTGCTTCACGGTGGGCATTTCCACACACTGTTCATGGATTTAGAGTTAGAGATCAAACCCTGATCCATTGATTGGATCAGTGACTTACTGCATGGTTGTAACTACTTAACTTTAATGTTAATGCATAACAATTCATAATCTAAGACATGTGCAGCAGCACTGTCTACAGGAAGAATTTTTAATTTTAGATTCTGCTCTGCAATATATTTTTATTTTTAGAATAAAGTAATACACAAACAAATTACATTCCATGTTATTGGTGTTCTGAAAAACAGCTTAACTGCAGGGAATCTAAACATCGAGTTCCTCACTTTATCAAATACAAAACAACGTATAATAGGGACCATCTGTATGTTAGCTACCAAAATAGCCTAAACTGAGTGGTATTCAAGAAAAAGCTAGTAAAGCCATCTTTATTTCTTTTTTAAAGGCTTTTTAATTATATTTTTTCAGATATCACAATTTTGAGCCACACTTATAATTACAGTAGAGTAGCCAGCCTTCATTCAGTCAAACCAAACACTACATTCTTAAACATTTGTGGCCTAACAGCTCTTGAGGACAATTCTCAGCTTTGTAACCACTTTGTTCAAGAATTTCACAGTCGGTTTCAATGTTGAGCCATGTTCTTTTAAGCAACAATTTTATAACTTCGTCTTACTAACAACTTCTACCCTTCTGTTTTCAGACCCACTTTTGTTCACAGGTTCCTCATAAAATCGACAATAGAGGAGAGAATGCAGGCCATGCTGAAAACTGCAGAAAGAAGGTAGGCTCACTTTTGATTTAAAATGCTCCATTACAGAATTAAAAAAACTGAACAGAAATGTTTCCTGGGCTTTCTGTCATTGTTACAACCATGTGCCTATAAAAGAAGTCTGTAAGAATTCAGATTGATTGTAGCACCAAATTCCAGTCTTGGGTGATCATTACCTAGGTTCATGCAAATCCAAAAGAGCAAAAAAAAAAAACCGAAGCCCATCATTTCTAAAAAGCACTGCTACTGTAGGTCTCTGCCTAGTTTTAGTAGTACAGAAGTATATGAAATTAGAGAAAAGAAAATAGTTCATTATTTGTTGATTCATCATTCAAATGAGTAAGGTTCTAAGATGATTTTAACAAAAGTTTAGTGACTTTCAGCAAGTCCACAAGGTATTTTAGCAAGTCCACAACCTATAAAGTGCTGCAGGGTTTTTTTTTAAATAAAATGTGACCTGATGTCATTTCCTCTACAAACAACATAGTAAAGGAAGTGAGATAGGTTTCTGAAATATCTAAAGTCGGGACTGACTTCTACATCTTCTTTTGAAAAATACTGAAATCTGTGTTGCTGAAAAACATTTTTGGAAGTTACGTTACAGTTATTGGAAGTTAATGGTTAACAGTTTAGCTTTGTTAATGTTTGTTTAGAAAATGTGTTATTCCTGGGGAACTATTCACCATTCCCCCCCGGATATATATTTTTATCCATCTTCAAGTGCCGGATTGTATGGTTATTATAGAAAGTATTAGATAGAACCTTGCCAGTACAAAGACCTACACATGCTCTGCAATGTGCCATTGATATGAAAAATTGAACTTTTGCTAACCATGCACTTTTACAATGTCTTTAGGGTGAGTAATGGTGCTGTTTTGATCTTGATTTTTCTAGCCATGGCACTACGTCTTTGAAGCACTCTGAGGCATCTGTTCTGACTGTGGCAGACTTGGCTGATCTTTTTACAGAGGACACTGAAGCTTTGGAGTGATACCTCAGATTTTTCTATTGCTTTATTTTGAAAGGGACTGAATGCTCCTTAGGTCAGGGTGACTGTGTATTTCTCCAGTCTTCATGGTGCAGTGACCTGTATTTTTATATATCGCAAACAGATTTTTTTGTATTTGTTGGAAATGCCACAAAACCTTTGTGCACGTGGAAGCCTTTCAAGTCTTTCACTTGAAACCTCGTAAACTATAAGGTACCACACAAGTGGCATTCTTCTGATACCCCTAGCATCCAATGAAGATTATCCTTCTTCACAAATCTATCAAATTTTCTTTGGGTGCTTTTTTAACCTTTTTTCACATTGGTAAAATTAAATATATGAATGAGACAGAATGAAGGGCTAATTGAACATATATTTTTAGAATAGGTTATGTGAACACACTGTCACAGTTTTAACTAATAAAATTTTAGCTAGCGATACGTCTTTCAACAAGAATAATTAGCAAAAGAATGTCATCAAGTGCTATCTAATTGTATTTCGGCCTCCACCAAGCCTTGTGCCTGAAGATTAATAGTAATAGAGTCATTGTGAAGGATGAGTTGAAGATTGTGACAGTTATATCTGAAAACACAGTTATTTACACCCAAAAGCTCTCTATCACAGGACACTTCCAAAATGTATAGATGAGTACTGGTACTCAAGTAAATGTGTGACAGAGGTGGTCAGGGGTTATCTTCATCTGAAATTGCCGGTATGCATAACTGCATAAATTAAAAATGCTACATAAATCAATCCATTTTAAACTAGCACAAACAAATTTGAAGTACTTTTCTCTATCAAATAGAAAGTTACCTGAGAGTGAATTGATTTTAGAGGAGAGAAGCAAGTTGTATAGAGAAGAGACTTGACCCTTTTCGGTGACTATTGAAGCAGTTAGATCAGCTGTTGGATAAGAAAGATAAACACTGTTCAGTGGCAAGCTGCAGATGCATAGGGCTGAATTGAGTCTGAGATGCATAAAATTGGAAAATCCAGGAACTGAGTAAATGTAGTCCTGAGGTGGTCGCATGTCGTTGACCGAATATGTCACCACAGGTATGGATAAGTCTGTACCAGAAATGCCCAGAGGGGCCATCTGTACATGAAATCCTCACACCCTTAACTCATAACACAATTTTATTACCCTTTCTTTCACACAGCACACAAATATCTCACACTGCACAGACCCTGACATAAGTTACAGTTTTAATTTTTTCTTTAATAGCCACATGCTTACCTTTACTGCTGGGCAGCATTTCCAGCCTGCTGCCACCATTCAGTCACGTACCATTTTTTTCACACACTGCTTCTTTAACTGACTCACATTTTTTTTAATTCACCTGGCCATGACAAAGCAGGAGAGAAGACATGCTGCAGTCTGAAACCCCATTTCTGATGGGAAGTTCCAGCTGCCTTCCTGTTCATTGTTCATTCATGCTAGCAACCCTTCCCAGGTGTCCGTCACTGACAGCTCTCAGCCATCCAGGGAACACCCCCTCTCCTGTTTTAACCAGCACACAGCTAAAAGTCTACTATCACCGGTCTCTCTCTAAGAGCCCTGGCGGATGGCAGTGACTCCATTCCAGGTGCATTTCTTCTGCCTCTATGGAACTTCACAGGCTACCACCACCACTGCGCCTACACACTGAGACACCTGTCTTTCGCCCTCAATTATACAACCCTTACATTGCAGACACTGTGCTGCTTCACCTTGCAGTCCAGTCTCTGGTGAACACAGACACACAAAACCCATCCTTGTAGTTTGCTGTCACATTCTCTTACACCCGGCCAGTCTACTGTACATACACCACTCGTGCACCAGCCCACATCTCTCTCACACTCGAGCAGCCTGCATCACGCGCATATTCACAACAGGTTTGAGAGAGTTCTCCACCGACATGTTTTTCTGCTTTAAGGAAAGCAGTTTTATTTTCCTCTTGCTCTCCGAAAGACTCCCAGCAATCTCTACAGAGAAGTCAGACAGACTGTTTATATATGATTGCTCGCAGGTGCAGATCATACCATCAGTTCCCTGCAGCTGTGGCTTCATAAACAGACACTAACAGCCTGTCACAATGTCTTGTATACCAGAGTAGATAGGTGAATGCCTGATGGCCTCACCGCAAGATGTAGCTTCCTAAACAGGTGAAATTTAGAGGTCTACCAAGAAAGCAGTTGGCTTTGTTGTAGTTGTCCAGTGGGTTTGTCTTTCTTCAAATGGGACCAGTCATTACAGTGTTACCTTTGGGAGCAGAAAATACAAGATGTGAAGATTAAACAATAATAGATTAAACTTCCTCAATTGATTTCGAAAAAGTTGATGCCCTTAAGTCCCACTATGTCTTAAAGCTCTTCATCTGAATGGTGACTCCGGAACTTAGGTACAGCCAGGTCACCAGAAACTTTGGAGTGCTCACAGATTGTGAACCTGACCCTTGACAACACATTAAACTAGTTTTAACTTCGTTTTAGGCTTTTTGTGAAAGTGAATTGGAGATCATGGAAAATAAGAAAATAATGAGAGGAAAGATGCACTTTTTTATGTTGGATGAATTATGAAGCAGGACATTGTACGAGATTATCTTTAAGAATTTCCTGAAATAATTGAATACAGTAAGTAAAACCTGAGAACTGCAATTGACAAGAAATATGACTTGGAAAATAACAGGATTGATTTTGACCAACTGTTTTTATGTTTTATATCTGTAGGGTCTACTGAAGTTATTACATAGTTTTTAGTCTTGGGGGACTTAATGAAAAATGTCAGAGAAAAACTGTATTATTTTGTGAAATGTGAAATTTTTAAAACTCTGTATGTCAATGGGAGTTATGTTAATATTTAACCAGCAGTTCTAATGACAGAACAACCAGTAATGATGAATACCTATGTCCACTCTGAATTGAAGGGATAACACTGTTCTTGTCTGCATACAGAGGTTGGACTGTTGCATTGTCAAAACCAAAGTGTTTAACAACAGCTCATGTAGCTAGTTCCATTACAGATGATGGACCATCTTCTGTTCATTTATTGAAATGCTGACTGTGGGAGCTCCAGTGCTAACTCCAGTACTAAATCACCATCTTGGTCATGAACCACCTGAAGTCCCCTTAGGATCTTTTTTCTGGTAGATAAGGATTGGTGGACATTCAGGCTGAATTATCTCCAGGGAAGGAGATAAGGTGGTTTGAACTTCCAGCACAGGCCAATATTAAAAAAAAAACATTTTAAACAATCAAATAGTTTGGTTGTGATTTTAAACAAAACCATCTCCGCTGTTGTCTGCCATTTAGGAGATGTTAGGTGAAACATTATCTTGCATAGTTTTCATCTGATATCAGGACATACAGGTTGAAGTTGGAAGAAACAGGTTTCCATTACCAAAAAGACACTTTTTGCTTGAAACAGAACTTTATAGTCATCAGTCACATGTTCTCTCTTACTTCCTGGTTTCACCCAAGGATACAAAGCTTTTCCTTGTTTAAGAGTGGAATTTGATTTCTGTGACATTCTGTTAGATTAAGAAATTTAGTCCAAAGATGATTAAATGGAAGCTTGATATGAGCTTAACACTATAGTGCAATTACCTGGAAATGTAAGACTTGTCTATTTATGCTATAAACCATTTTTTACTGGTTAATTACTCTTAGGAGCATTGGAAGTAATTATGTAAATCCTAGATTAATAAATTCAAATAAGAGTTTACATACTTGGTTTTTATTACACAATTCATAGTAGCAATGAGAGTTTTGTACTTGGGTTATTATTATTGTGAGTTATTGGGTTATTGTGTTATTTTTTAAAGCAACTGTTATTACAGTGCTGTTTAGCTCGATGCTTTTTATAAACCCAAGTTTATCACACAGTAGTCATTATCCTGTTTCTCTTCTTCATATTTAATGAATGTCCCTCTGCTAAATAAATAAGAGGATAGGGTTGTGGAAACACTGGGACAACATTGTCTATAAAGCATAAGCTACCCACCTGGCTGACCTCTTGAAGAGTTTTTTAATTGCAATTATTTTCTGCATCCTAAAGAGGTATTACTCTTTTTTTTTCTTAATCACATTCAGATTGCATTCCGGGCTAATGTGAGTGTGTTTATCAAAGTTGAACAGCAGCTAATGTATTAGGAAGAATTGCACTATAAGGACCTGAATACCCAGTGGTCAACAATGCCTTTCTTTCAGCATTTGTTTTTAATATAAGAGACAACACTTTCAAGTAACAGAAATATTCCATCACAATATTCCAGCTAAAGTAGATTTGTACATTTATGTAATTTGTATTTTCTTTGTGCAATTAGAGTTGTTCTAATGTAAAATGATTTGTATTTGTTCTGTTCTTTTCACAATAATGTTGCTGGTCAGTGAACCTTTATGTTAGAAGCAGGTTGTTATAAAACTTTCTGCAAATAAAACTTGTGCTGTCTGAAGAAATTAAATTTTTATCTTTTTGCTTTGTTTTTCATTGTCTTACTTTAAGTGTTACTATTGATCTGGCCAGTACACTATAAATGTGTTCTGTGGTGAATATACAGTGTATAATTAGGTTTATGCTACAGCTATAGGATTATACCATAACTATAGCGTTTGGGAATATACACAGGTTACTGGATTAAGGTACATACCTAAAGAGGAGTTGAAATATTTAATGTTCAAGGTTTTTCATTATAGTAAATAGGCTGACACTTTTATCCAAACCACTTCCCTTTGTACCCATTTGTGTATACAGCTGGGAATTTTATTGGGGCAATCCTGAAACACCTTGTTCAATGATACCACAGCTGTGGTCCCCTTTGGGATTGAACCCACAACGTATCACACCAGAGCCCTAAAAACACCTCCATTGCTGACTAGTACTATTTGTTACATTATAGCAAATACATGTTTTTTTCATTTGTCATGTGTTGTCTTATACAGCATGTAGAACATTTTCAGGTTTTGTTAGTTTGTTTCCTTGTTAAAGCTGCTTGGAAGGAAAATGCTGGCCCCTCTAACCTGTGTAAGACACAGCTAGCTAACTGAAATTGCCTTTCATTCAGTGGAGTCTTTCACTGTTTCTCCTGGAGTAAAAAGAGCAACAATTTGGTTTAACACTGGGTTCCTCTTATTTGCAAGACAAAAACATGATTCAGTGTCAATAAAACCTTTCCAGTAAAGTCAACTTGTAAAAAGACAAAGACAAAGACAAAGACAAAGGAAGATGGTTTCTGAGAACAAGGTTGCAGGGAATCAGTCTGTGACATTTAGAAACCAAACAGCTGTTTGAAATTAAGTTGCAAGACTTTAAATGAATTCACAATACTGTATGTGATTTCTTCAGCAATGTGTCAATATTTAAAGTTCACTTGCCAGATGCAACAAGTACTGGCAACATTTTATGCTAAAACCATCTATCTAATCTATATCTAATTATCTAATCTATACTTCTGAGCTGAATTAAGTAGACAATTTTAAATAAATCTGGAGAGAATCTAATGTTCTTACATGTAAAGATTTGAGCAGGTTGAGCTAATATTTCATTGACAACCTTCATTTCAAGAATTGTTATTTTTTAGTGATACAATTGTCAATTGTCATGTCATTTGCCAAACCAGCTTTATACCATATGGTGTCACGGGAAGCCGGAGCCTACAAGTAATTAGTCAAATTAAAGTAATAAATGTAATTAGTAAAATTTCTGTTATTTGATCACTATATCCCTTCTAAGACAGCTTAACATTTACCCATCTCAACAAGTAGGAATGTATACATAAAAGGTGCAGGAAATAATCACTTGTTTAGTCATCCATAAAGAATTTACATCCATAAATTCACTTTTCTTTAAACAAAAAAGATGCCCATGCATGATCACTCACTAATTCAGATTTAACATTCTCAATACGCTGTTTGCTGCAGGCATTGCAATGGGAAAGTCTGTCTCAAGCTTATTCTATCAGGCATCGACAGACCTGAAAAAAACAACTCTTTTGTAGAAGACAATTTTGTTCGCTTTGTGGAGGTTGAGGTTGCTCATCTAAGGCTGACCTCTGCTGCTTTTACCTTTCTATTTCCAGTCAATAAATCCCTACTAAATCTGTCATGTGATCATTGACCTCAATGTGACCTATTTCTCAGTGTATATGGTAATTCATTCGATTAGCAGCTTGGGTGTGCACGCAAAGCTGCTTCTGATCAGCACTAGCATTGCCTGTCTTCAGTCTTCTAATCTTATTTTTTTCAAGTCTGGAAAATGTCATGGCCATACTTCATTACAAATGAGTGTCATGGACAACAATTACAGTATATAATAAGAATAAGTTCTAAACTTAAGGAATACTAGTGTTTATGCAGTATATAAATTATTGTATTTTTCCATTACAAATAATGATTTATGATTTTTGCATTTTTTTCAGCATAACGTTGAAAGAAAATCCCTATGATTACAGAAGTGTGAATTTCTCCTTCTGTTGTGAAAATTTAAGAATGAGAGAAAGAAAGAGAAAATTATTGTTCATTCTTTGTTTATTTGTTCAACTGCATTTGTAATTGATGCATACGATTGCTACTGTATGCCTTACCTGGAAATGAGATAAATAAAAACCATTTCTTTTTCTATTTTTTTTCTTATCTGAGTTTCTCTTATCTGTTAATTATATGATGTAATACTCCTTTTAAAACCAAACCAGAAAATGACAGGAAATTACATTTGCAAACATTGATTTAAAAAAAAAGATTTATGAACTTGGTCAACACTTTCCAACACCCTTCTTTTTTTCCACCATAAGTATATACTTTGGAGGTTTAAAAAAGGAAGTAGCATTTCCCTACATGAAATGGATGTGTTTTTTTCTTCTAAGATCACTATGATGTGTGATGATGGCTAAAGCAGAACGCTGCAATTTGCTGTGCTTACGTTTTTGATTATGCAACCTGAAATACCTGCATATCTCAAATAGTGGCATGCAATCACAGCAAATTTAATTACATGTCATTTGCACCAGAATCATTTTAAAATCAGCTTGTTTTCTCTGTGTGACATCTTTGCACAATGTTCAAAAACAATTTTCAGCTTCTGTGTGTGAAAGCAGGCCTGCAGTCTCAATAGACAGAATTCTGAAGTAACACTGCAGATGAAGTCCCACTGTGTCTATAAATTTTTTTTTTTATTTTTTAAGTTTAGTTTATTTTATTAAATACAAATGTGTTTATTAAATCTGTGCAATTAAGAAAGTAGTACCAGTTTAATAGTTAAGTCATTCGAATATAGTCATTCTGACATACCGTACATATCAACCACAGAAATCAACCAAAACTTTGTGAAAATGTTCCTATCCATCACAGATTTGGCTGTTTTTTTATGAACAAACTGAAATTGGAGCTGTCAGCTCTTAACAGATCCTTACATATGACTATTTCTGCAATACATGGAGAGTAGCTGAAAAAACTCACAACATATTCAAAAGCACTAGTATATACAGCCATATATTTAATATTTACTTAGGTTTTAGTCATAGAATATAAAACACACATGCACATAATTGTAAAGACTAGTTTTCTCAGTTATATAATGGCACAATGAGTCATCAAGGAATTTTCTTAGCAGCTTCATATGAGTTGTAAGAGGTTGCAGAGGCACTGTCAAGGTAAGATTTATCAACAAATGAACAATATACATGTACTGTCCATTAACACTGATATATCTAACCCTGAATAACATCTCAATTCAGCACCTTTTCTATTCTGAAAATAGTAACAATTTGTGTGGACAAATCTTCCTGGCAAGCAGAATCCCATTTTTAGTATCCTGTTCTACTCTTGTTGAGCTAAAAACAAACTTTTCTTTAAAAAAAATATTTTAACTTTTTGCTTTATTTAACATTGGTTGTTGCCAATTAAATTGTTCAGGTATTTAGAGTCATCGTACAGTAGGTCCCAATATTAATCAAGATGTAGATTCTAAATCTGGAAATCATCAATGTTCTTTCTTGTTTCATACTCAGTGTAGAATATTTGCTTTTAGGCAACAGAAAATACCATTTTAGAGTTATTCTAGAGTTAAGTGTTTAGGAATGTAGAAGGTGCTCAACCCTATTTCTGGATATTTCCCATCCAATAGGTACTTTAGATGATTAGTTAATTGTTTCCTAACACATACAATAACTCAGAAATTTAAGTGTGTCAGAGTAATCTCAGAGCAATGGGATGTGCACAGTGATGCAAAGTTAAAGTTGATGTGCCTTCACAGATTCTCAAGACATTTTTCATAGTTGTCTTAGGCAGATGAAGGCCACGTGGCTTCTGATCAAATCCTGTGTTGCTCTCCTGTTTCCTTTCAAAATGGAGAGAATCGGAGACAGAAATGCAAAAAGCAGAAATAACTTAATTCCAAAAGAAATTTAGCCTTTACTGTTAATAAATTAGTTCAGTAAGGTTGATTCTTCCCTTTTTTCAGTTACCATCATCATTATGTACATGTGGGAAGACTGTGTGCATTGTCCTGTGCTCAGTTGTAAAAAGGAATGTCTGTTTTTACATGTAAAGCAACTCACACAGGAAATGTCTTTATTGTTTTACCTTCAGTCACATAAAGCAAATGTAATATTGATGTTAACGAGTATGCATAAACCTTTCAAAGCCTTTGGTCTCTTGTCTTTTCAGACGATGAGGTTTTAATGATATTGTCTTAGATTCATAACAATGGAATATTGCACCATTTAACTCTTAAATCATGAGGGATATTTAAATCACAACCACTGAGTCTGCTTAACCGTTTCAGTACAAAAAAGACTTCTTCAGAACCTGTTATAACACTTCTGATGCTTCCATAAAATCATTTATATCAATGTGCCAATTTTCATCTGAATCTGAGACACATAAAAACATTGGTCCACTGAATCAACCATTAGAATAGCCCAATAGCTTAATTATCTCAATATCTTTTTCTTATACTTCAGTACTACAAAAGATTGTGTTTTTTTCCCTTCTTTCCCTTGTTTTTCGTGCTTTCCCGCATATACCGTAACTGAGATTCTTGATTAGAGTAAAGCTGTTCTCGTAAGAACAGCAAATGGAAAAAGGCACAAAAGAATGACAAACTCTTTCTCGGATTCTCTTGGAATGTAAAGCTGATTACGCATTTTATTTATTTTGTCGTAGAAGTAGATGTTTTCTCCGTGGGCAATCCCAATTATCACGGCTCTCTTTTTTTCTGTTTCCGAGTAGTTTTTTGTTACCTTGGACTCCCCTGGCTTCCCCTATTCATGTCTGGAATCTCATTGTTGGTTTGGACATCATTCAAGCCTGTTCTTCAGGGCTGGAGAGAGGCAGCGACTCCATCAGAGCAAACTCAGTGTGATGGAGCAAGGGGAACAACATTGAACGCTGAACAGTAGTAAATTATTGTGGATAACATAAAAAAGCTTCTGGAAAGAGCCAAGAGGCCGCTGAGGACCAGATTTGACGTATTTGCCTGAACTGGTGTGAATTTCTTCTGACAATGATTCTCATAAGTTTGCCATTTGTTTTGTCCTTGCTGACTATGCGAGTGATTTCTTCAACTCAATCGTATTTTCAGACTGAGGAAGGTAAGTCTCATAAGCCACACAAAATGTCTAATAAGACATTTACATGTCATTATGGTGAAAAAAATGTTAAACAATATTATCATCTTTTAGTTTGATAATGATTATCAGCAGTGTACAATTTCAATTTTTTGAGTTTTATAGCTATATTATAATATAACTTGATGAAAAAACAATTGACAAATCTTGATTCTCTTTCTCACATTAGGGTTGAATGCCTAGGAAGTCAAGCAAAACCATCTTCCCCAGATTCAACATCATTTCGTAATGCAGAATGTCTAAAAACAAACTTTTTTGCAATGATTGTTGGTGTTCCTAGGGCAACAGGCAGGAATTAGCAATAAAAACAAGACAATGGAGCAGAAAGGTAGAAAAAGCTGGGTAAAATAAATATCAGACTACACCAATATCTGTCAATTGCATGGATAGTTAACATTACAGTTGACAAAATGCACTCTAGATTAGGAAATTCACAATTTCCAAGGTAATATAATACTGATTATATTAAAAATTAACCGCTCACTATCATTTGTCTTTTATTTACATTGATGTTTTTGAACACTGCCGCATTATTTCTATTTCATTATTCAATGACACAATATATGTGTCATTGGGAGACATTTGTATTAGACAATAATTTTTAAAATAAATATAAAAAAGGTGCACCATAATCTGGGGTTTTAGGACAATTTGCCCACAAATTATACAAATAGAGTATGCAGTTTGCTGCGACACAGCGATCAATCAATTTGTGCTGGATTATTTTTTCAGTAACTCCAATACCCATTATGTTGTTGTAATTGTAGTTACTGGGATTAATAGTTAGTGATAAATATAAATAAATCCTTGTGATAAATAAAATGTATCATTAACTACTAGCGACTGATTTTCATAGTTTACTTTCTTACTGTTTTATCAAACACTGTGTTTATTATTACAGATTATTGAATAATGCATTAATACATGTTCCAAAGTATCTATCTCTTAGTACATACAGTATCATGAAGCATGTGCAGAGTGAGTGCCAGTGTGATAGTGATGCTAAGACTGCTGCTGAAGTCCCCCTGTGGTGAAGTTCTCTGACATAGTTCTCAGGACATATTCACATTTGTATGCTACTCAAAACTATGCCTCAGACTGCTGTATTCTCCAATAATGATGACACTGGATGTGAAATAATGATGTAAATAATTGTAAAAATATATTTTTGGGAAAGGGGGTAAGAATAAAGCCTTTAAGGTGTTATGAACATAAATAATGATCAAAACGTTTTTTTTTCTTTCACTCAGAAATGAATGAAACTGTCGTTTGCACTAATGACCACATGGAAGTGATCATTCCAAAGGATTTTTTTGTCAGCAAAGTTCCACCAGTCTATGTAAGCCAGTTCATTTTCCCCTGTCACAAACTGGAAGTAGTAGTAAGCTAATATCTCCCATTTCTCATTGTATGTCATGACTTATATTTCATGTCATTGTATGTGTGATTTGTGAAGTCATCTATATATTGGAAATAATTAGAGAAGAGGGGAAAGTTGGTAAATTATATATGCAATACAAATATTTTTGTATTTTGAAATGTTACCAGCACTCCATCTGCCTCAAGAACTAAAGTATATAAGCATACAGTACATAAGAACATTATGGCTCCTGAAAAGGAAATCTCATTTGACTAAAGCATAAAAATAAAACTTCTAGGTAATGAAGACTGCTGCTTTTGATAGATTACAGCACAGCATTAGATTTGACACTGTGCTGTAGGACTCCAAGGTGAAGGGGGAATGAAACTGTTACGATTGATGATAGAAGTGGACAAGGAAGCAAACACAAACCATCCAAAATAGATTTAAATTTACTAAGAGTACATTTAAACCCAGTGGTGGTCTTGTGAATAATCCTGCGGAAAGTAGAGGTGAGAATGTTTCTTCAGGAAGATTAAGACACCATTAGTGGAAAATGGTCTCACATGGACAAAAACATAACCCTTTGCTTATAAAAGCCAGTCCATCAAAAAGCAGATACACACACACCTTGGACAGGTCGCTAGACCATCACAGGACACGCACACACACACCCTGGACAGGATACCAGTCCATCACAGGACACGCACACACATCCCCTGGACAGGATACCAGTCCATCACAGGCAGACACACACCCTGGACAGGACACTAGTCCATCACAGGCAAACACACACCCTGGACAGGATGCTATTCCATCACAGGACACGCACGCACACACCCTGGACAGGATACCAGTCCATCAGAGGTCCGGACTCTCTGTGGTCATTACAAATCCCAGGGTGTTTCTCGAAAAGAGTAGGGATGTCACCCTGGCATCCTGGCCAAATTTCCCATTGGCCCTTAGCAATCATGGCCTCCTAATAATCCCCATCTCTGAATTGGCTTCATTACTCTTTTCTCCTCCCCACTAATAGCTGATGTGTGGTGAGCATTCTGGCGCATCATCCAGGTGGGGCTGCACATTGGTGGTGGTGGAGGGGAATCCCCATTACCTATAGGTGCTTTGAGTGGAGAGTCCAGAAAAGCACTATATAAGCTATATAATTATTACTATTATTATTATGATTATTTTTATTAAAAGAAAGCAAATCAAGAAGAATGAAGCAAAGGATCTTCTTTTTTAGAATTATCTACCAACTTTCAAGGCAACAGTAACATCTAACCAATGAATAAAACCAGTCTCACCAGATATACATGTAAGAGCCGACATGAAACATGCACAACCTCCCTATTGGCTTGATAATTTACAATGACCTCTTTCTGCAAACATGAGTTTGAGATTGAAATCACCCTTGAGTAGTGCAATTACTCTAGATGTTAAAATTCATGTAAATGTATTTATACTGTAATCAAAGCTGTCATCAAAATTGTCACCGATGTTATCTGAACTGATTGTAAAACCTTAGGAACTGGGACTGATGCTTTGACCCAAAATATTGCTCAGATCTAATAAGTAATCTCTGAAATCAATGGCTGTATAGTACAGTTTAAAATACTGATTTACAGTATTAATCCAGTAAGTACAGTATATAGTAGTTACATGGTTAAATTATTTCATGATCTACCGGGTTATATTGTTTGTGTTGCTATTGGTCAGAGCAAAATTTATGAAAGGTTGCTTGCCATATGTGTTTGTTTTTGTTGGTGTAATACAATATCTCTTGTTGTGGACATTTTGTACCACAGATCTGGGATTTGCACCTTAATGACCCTGAATGCCGTGGAACTGAAACAGAGGATGACTATGTCTTCATAATTAAAACAAATCTCTCTGACTGTGGGACGATCATGGTAATGTAGCTATTTACATTCCCTTTACCTCTACCCTCTGCAATCAAGCTAAGGGTAAGAGTATGCATAGACCGCCAGTCCCCCATGAAATGAAACAGCTCATTATGCTTCAGTCAATCAGCATTGTTCTTCAAACTTGGAAACCTTTTTTTTCCCTTAAGAACTCTTTTAACTTCTTTAAGTTAGCCTATATTCCCAATTCTGAGTTTACTAATATGACCTCAGTCACATAAGTGCTAATTAGATGAAAGAAAGCACATTTATTTCACACAATTCACGTGGGATGTTTCTTAACTTAGTTTTAAATATTTTTCCAATTGAAAAAGAATAAGGAAAACTGATTGGTTGAGCAACTACAGATTATGTGGCCAAGCTAAAGTGCATTATACGATGCAGAGAAAGAATACAGTTCAGCTGCCAAAAGGTGGTCTTTCATTCATTTCCCCAAGTGTTTCTTTAGAGGGCTGTCAAGAAGGGAATGACTCACAGCACTAAATTATCTGGATTTATATGGAAATTATAGCCATGTTTTCAGTGCCATGAATAGCCAGACCATATGTCAATGTCCAGTTTGTTATTAGCTTTATTTTTTCTAGCTCTTTTCATGCAGTGACCACATTACTAGAATGGCAATTTTCTATCTGGAAAGATATAAATTTGAACTTGAAACCACATTAACTATAATTGAAATTCTTATACACAGTGCACAAGGCGTTCCAAATGTTAAAAAAGCATTGAAAGCATGTAAAAGGTTAACTTAGCTTTGTGGGGGAGAATGTTTCTTTTTTTCCAGCTGTTTTATAAGGGAATTTGCATACCAAACTGGAAAAAAACATTTAGGGGAAGGCTTGGTTTGGATTAATTAAACAACAATTAATACAATCCAGTGTTAAAATGTAGTCCTTATTTGCAAGGCATTAGCTATGATGTTACAAAATAAAAAATAAAAAATAAAAAATATGAATATACTATATATAATAGCATAATTTTAATATTCTATAGTGAGTACTGTATAAAAAAAGGAAAAATATAAGGTAACATTCTGACTGGCAATAATTTTATGTATTCAAAAATATGTATAATATTAGTTGTTTTCTAAATCAACTTTGGTCTAGCCTGTAATTACAGGTCTAAAGATTCAGATTAATTTCAGCTGCTCTACTGTACAGTATATCACTTGGCCTAAGACTGCCTCAGACCTATTTATTTCAGCATGGTTCTACTTATTGATGAAGCAGATGTTAACATAAAACACAAATATTTAGAATTTGTGAAATGATTATAAAACAAATGCTGTATTGGTAAAAGTAAAGTAAAATTTAAAATGTACTGTATTCTTTAACATTCAATATTGTCCTTCATGTTTTAGACTAACAACATTTGAGGGGATTTTTTAAAAAAACATTTGTGTTCTTAAATGCATTATTCATCATTTCTATTCAGATCTGTATCAACAAACACCTGATACGGAAACTTTATATCTATTAAATTAGGGTATTGCATTTCCTTCAGGGTACTAAGCTGAATCTTTGTATCTCACTAAAAACTAATGTGTACTCAAGAAACTGAATGATACCAGAAATCGGGCTTACCATAACATCAACCAATTATAAGAAAAGCATCAGGTTAAAGACTAATTGATATTTGTATGGGCCTACTGAAAACTGTTGTCTTGATTTTCAGTTCTTTATTACTCTCCTCCTTGCAAAATAGAATATGAAGTTTGTACCACATTTGGTTTGCTTTGCTATTGTAAATAAACAAAATGAATAAAACAGACTTACAATTACAGTCATTTTAAAATCATGTTGGGTAGTATGGTGACATAGTGATTAGCATTGCTGCCTCACAATGCTGGGGCCCTGGGGTTCGATTCCTGGGGTGCTATCTGTATGGACTTTGTACTGTATGTTCTCCCAATGTTTTGGTGAATCCTCTGGGTGCCCCTCTTTCCTCCCACAGTCCAAAAACATACTGTAGGTTAATTCCCTTCTGCAAAAGTTGACCCTGATGTGAGTGTGTGCATGTCTATGTTTATGTTTCCCACTCAGGGTATATCCTGCCTTGTGCCTGTTGTTTGTCTGGATATGCTCTGGCTCCCCTGCGAACCTAAAATGGGTGAAGTGGTTAGAAGATGGATGGATGGATGGGTGGATAAAATTCTGCTTATTATAATTCAGTACAGTACAATCTTGCATTTGCAGTATGCAAAACAGATATACAATATACAACATAGATACTGTATACAACAGGCAGACAACAGCAATGCTCTACACACATAGAGTAGATCATAGGACTAATAAAGATGATTTAATTGTTTTTATATCTCAGTTTAAACATATTTCTATTTAATACCTCTAATAATATACTATTATTATTTTAGGAAGAGGGCTAGTATTGACAACCATTCTCTTGTAGTCATGGATGGAGTTCTATGTCAGACATTACTAGACCAGTGTTCCAAGCTAGTTCCAAGCTAGTCTGAAGTGCTCTGTATTTGCTTATTCCACGCTAAGCTTCAGCATGTGAGAAACTAAAGATAGACACAATTCTTAATTGACATAAGCTATTACATTGGTTAGTAAGTTTTATAGGTTTCTTGGAAGCATGGCCATAAGACATTATTTAGACAGTTTGATGTAATAAAGCGTTTCATTTATATTAATTATATTAATTAATTTATATTTACAGTATATTTTGATTCATAATAACCTCCAACTAGCACAAGTATTGCATAACAATGACTCGGGACAAATAATACCATCTCCGGCTTACTGTAAATAAAACATACTTATCTCCATGATTTCCAGGGCAGGTGAGGGGACACCTCACCAGGTGATAACCATCAGGGATAATAAAATGTGTCCTACCGACTGAGTGAAGAGCAATTTATCCAATTCAATTGGTATTGGAGACATACCTCTTTGCTCTCTCCAGGGACTGGATGTAAAATTCTGAAATGATTTGTATTCTCCTTTGTTGTCCCACTTTTTACTGCCACATTAATGTAAATGTCACATTTTTAAATGAGAGGGTTATATTTTTATAGTGTCTGTATTAAAAACATTCCTAAGTGTCTGTAGTTCAGGTGGGTAGCTGCGTCAGCATGCGTAGGCTGCAAAAGAACAAGTAATAGGTTTATTCCATGCTGAAAAAAAGAAGAAAGAGAACACAACGTTTCGGCCGTGGAGACTGCCCTGTCTCTCTCACGCCTGAAGAAGGCTCCACGGCCGAAACGTTGTGTTCTCTTTCTTCTTTTTTTCAGCATGGAATAAACCTATTACTTGTTCCTTTGTCCCTATTATAGACCTGTTCAAAAGTTGAGAATCACCTCTGACTGTCATAAAAGTTTACTCTAGATATGATATGATTTTTTTTGTCCATTTCAATTTTACTGTGGATTTGTAACAGAGCAAAAAGTGATCTGGGAAGTCATTGCTGTGTTCTGCTCATTGTTCTGCTCTGGGGATCAGACAACCTTCAGTCAGACAATCTTCAGTATTGATTGTGATTGTCCAGTGAAACATAATAAGGGAATTATTCCCTTTAAAATAGAAAAGACAAGCAACATCAACAACGATGATAACCTTTGTGTTTTGAGATTGTCTAGTATCGGTGAACTGTACAGTATGTTCTGATATTTCTGCAGCACTTGACTAATCCGTGCCCTTTTGTTGTGAGAGGTTATGCAAGACAGACATGCAGGGTGATGCTTGGTGGCTGTAATGTCATTGTCATTAGTCTTGGTGATGTTATACACACATTGACTTGGCAGCACAAGAAGTTTTGCACTGACTCTCACTCTGGCCATATTCAGAGTGGAGACCTATTACACAACCTCGGGTAAAGGGCAAAATATAATGAGCACTCTTTGTTAGTGGTCCTCTAATTGTAAACCCAATGATTTTGCAACTCTCTGCTTGCATTTATAGATTTTATACACAAAGCAATATGGGTAACTTTCAGATATGCTCATTGTATTCTTCAAGGCTACCTGATGTATTTTAGACTATTTTTGAATTTTTAAATGACAAAATGGTTTCCACTGCATTCAAAGTAGTGTATGACTTTTAAAAGAGCTTTACAGCAAAACATTTGAATGTACGATGTTTTACTGTGTTTTATACCGTATGTAATTTAGTTTCTCCATGTGTTAAGAAATATTTTTCTCGATTTCAGGCTTCAGATGATACCCATATCATGTTTATAAACACCATACAAAATAATGAAACTGATATTATCACAAGAAGCTACATCAACATTACTTTTGTCTGCCGCTATCCCATCAACTATATGGTGCAGCATCCCAATGGTGAAAATATGATAAGTGTCGACATCAGGTAATATATTAATCTTGGTGACAGCATCATGTTAGCCTGTCTCAAAATTTACTCAGCCTTATGTACAGTAGCTACTGTAATGTTATTACACAGGTATTGTAGGTAGTATATAAGGTGCATAAAACCATATTATAATAGGCTTATATTACCATTTGTATTGACATTGCAGTTAAATTGTAAAACATGTTTTATAAATTATGCAAAGCAAATATGAACTGGTGTGTTAAACAGGTGTTGTAAATGGGCTAAAGAGAAGGAAATTTAGGTCATGAGTTCCAGGTGAAATGTGGAAGATCCATGTGCTACTGTACATTGGTAAGGTTTTAAAGTGTCATTAAACACAAATACAATCATACAATAAATGTATGATGGCTAAGCAGATGAAAAACATTCAACACTGAAATACTTAGAAAGTTTGATAGGAGGAATTTGTTTATCATAATCATTGTCATCATCTCGCCATTATTGTTGTTGTTCTTGTTGTCAATGTCGTTTTTGTTGTTGTTGAGTGTCTTTAGCACTTTTAAGTGAATAAATTCCATATTATTTTTCACAGGACAATTACACTCAATACTGAAGATGGCAACTTCTCTGTGTCCATGATGTTATATAAGGACAAATATTTTGAGAATAAATGGACAACAGTTCCCTTTCTTACTCTGGAAGACAACATATATGTTAAAGTCTTTATGGTGAGATCAATTTCTTGTGGTAAATATTTCTAAAAAGCATTTTTTGACTATACATCAGTTGACTGTGAAAATTGTTGCCTTCAATCTGAAGCAAGACAGTTTTGCTTGCTTTGAGCTTCTATTTTGCATTTTATTACTAAGCTTTAGGCCGGAGAATCATATCTAGACCAATTTGGGAAAACTGTCAATAAAACTTCCAGTCCTAAAACTATAGAGAACATTTAGAAATGTAATTGTTTCTGTTATTACAGTCAATGTTCACTGCTCTGTATACATCATCTTTCACATAATTCTGCCACAGTAACACAGCATTATGTGCATCACAGCCAATGTAGATTTTGAAAGTGCACATGTGCTTTAACTAATGCACTTGAAATCTTTGAACAAACAATAAGGATAACAGTAGTTCAAGTAGGTAGCTGCATCAGCATGCATAGGCTGTAAAGGAACAAGTAAAGGTTTATTCCATGTTGAAAAGAGAAGAAAAGAAACATAATGTTTTGGCTGTGAAGCCTTCAACTAATAAGGATAACAGATAACATTGAATTAGTAATAATAATAATAATAATAATAATAATAATAATAATAATTGCTTACACTTATATAGCACTTTTCTGGACACTCCACTCAAAGCACTTTATAGGTAATGGGGACTCCCCTCAACCACCACCAATGTGCTGCATCCACCTGGATGATGCAACGGCAGCCATAGTGCGTCAGAAAGCTCGTCACACATCAGCTATTAGTGGGGAGGACAGCAGAGTAATGAAGCCAATTCATAGATGGGGACTATTAGGAGGCCATGATTGATAAGGGCCAATGGGAGATTTTGACCAGTATACAAGATAATATATTTACACTTCCAAAAAAAGCTTTTGAATGTTTCCTCATAAAACGTTGACTCTCAAATTTTAAATCCACAGAATCCTAGAATAGACTGAGTAACAAATCGAAAACAGAGTTATCTTAAAGAGAACAACTTCTAATTGGACAGACATAAGCAGTGGCGTGCTGCAGGGATACATTTTGGGCCCTTTGTCTTCTTAATCTAAAGGGGGAACTCATAGGTTGCTTCATATTCTCCTATATTTTAGATTTAAAATGTATTTAGATCGTCATAAAAAGATTAAGATTAAACATATTCTTGTAAGGAGCTGTGTTATCGTGCCTTAACTGCATATTAAACAGTAAAGGTTGGTTCTACTGTAGGCTGAACAATAAGAAGGAGAAACATAGTATTTTAGCTGTTGAACCTTCTTAAGTTGTGAGAGAAAGTAAGAAAGAAAGTAAAAAGGTTTTACATTTTGTATTTAGAAGGACCACTGGAATTATTTTAATTTGCGTGCTTCCAGAAAAGGCCCCAATCTATACCAAGAATAAGCAGATGAATATCTCATGACAAACAAGTTAAAGCTTGTAGACACTTATAGCTGTAATGTAATTTTTCTATCATTTAAATGCTTGGTGGATCCAAAAGTTTAAAATATCATTAAAGATGAAGAAAGGATAAATACACTGAAATTAATAAGTGTTTGACAGCAGGAAATGTATACAACATTGGATAAAAAGGCTGTAAGCATTTTTCTGAGTGCTGGTACAGGACTTTCTTTTCAGCTTCTTTTCACCGATTAAAAGCAGACATAATTTGGTCAGTTAGTATTGGGCAATTGATAGCGAATAAAAATATTTCATCTAACCTTGACTTTATCCCAGAATTTCATGAGTTAACAGTGTGTAGGGAAATAAGGATTAGGTCTATTGCAATAAAATATTACTTTTATGTGAAAGTCTTCGTTTTGGCTCATGAGTAGACATGTTAATATGAGGCCCCAGCCCAGGATCTTATAACAGAGATTAATTTACCTAATGTGAGCAACAGGTGTAAAGCTACAAAAATCAAGGATGATTAAAGGACTTTGCTTGTATTTTTTCCACTTCAATGTCCATTGTTTTGGACTATCGAAATATTCATGTTTTATGTTGAAATGACTAAAACTTTGTAACAAATCATGATGACTACAACCATGGTTCACTTGCAGTTTCAGTGGCTTTGAGAGTCATCTGAGGTTTAATATTGCTGACTTGGACTTACACAGTGTCTGTTGATTTCTCTGTGGAAATGTTTGCTCACTGTAGCACTGCCTGTTGCTTAGCAATGTCTTTTATTTATTGTGTATTCCTAACTACACTCTCCCATCTGTTTCCCTTGCAGCTACCTGCTCATCTGATACTGCGTCTAGAGAGGTGCTGGGCTACCCCGACAAGTGACCCATACAGCAGCATCCAGTATATGTTCATCTGGGAAAGGTCTGTGAGCACACCGGGTGATAAGGAAGATATTACTTTATGTTATGTCCCCTTTGAAATATCATTCCTTCATTAACATGAGATTGCTGGACATACCCTTACAAAACAAAATTCCACATGAAACTGAGATGCTAGATTATTCTAAATCAGATTTAAAGTGGTTATATGGATGAAGAAAAGTTTTAAAGTGTGAAATATAAATAATGTGAAATATACAGTAAATAACAAGAGTGGCACAGTGGCGAAGTGGTTAGCATTACTGCCTTGTAAGGCTGGCACTCTGGGATCTGCATGGAGTTTGTATGTTCTCCTCATGGGGTTCTTCCTTTTCTCTCACTGTCCAAAGGCATACTGGTTTGTCTGGGTATGTCTGGCTTTTGGGAAAAATGCCCCTGGTGTGATCGTGTCTGTGTATGACTGGCGTCCAGGGTGAACCCTGAAAAATGCCTCTGGTATGATTGTGTCTGCGTATGACTGGCGTTCAGGGTGAACCCTGAAAAATGCCCCTTAATTCCATTAAGTGTCTTGAGAAAAAAAAGACACTACAGCAGTCCCTAAGACACTAATACTTTGGTTCAAATCACAGCTGAGTGCTAGGATCCTGTGATTGATGATTAATTTCAGAATGGTTGTCCAAGACCCACTCCATGGCTTTAAATTGCAGTTACTTGGGCTTAGCTTAGTCAGGACAGCTCCAAAACTACAGTACTGTGTGTGTCTGTAGTATTGTGAATGTCTGTAAGCACCTAATCATGTCTTACTGTCATTGTGGCTAACAATATACCTGCTTTTCATTTTCTATATTTACTGATGGTTAGTTTGTAATCTTTACATAGTGGTGCTGACTTCACAGTAAGAGAAGAAAATTAGTTTTCTACACTACCAGACCCTGGGAATGGTGTCAAATTAAAATTGGTTTACTACAGGGGGCTTGTCTTACCACAGATTTCAGTTTGAACTCAGACAACTATAATACAGTGCTTCACCTCTCTGTTCTCAGCTGTGTAACTGGTCTCCTCTATGCTGGACATCTAAGTTGAATGGTTTCTAAGGTTTTTTGCAAGGCTTTTAGTGCATCTCCTAATTACCAATGAAAGCCTTGTGAAGGATATGGTGTTTGGAGGAATTCCATAACAAGCACTGTCTGAGAAACAAGAGGGAAGATAGGCCTCATGTAATTACAATGGATAATGCCTTTTAAGATGAATGTCTGAGTTTAATAGTGTTTTCATTCACAGTTGTCCAGAAGTAACTAATGAACAAACATTAGTAGTGCTGAAGAATGGCCAGGGTCCAGAGGCAATGTTTCGGATACAAATGTTCAAGTTTGTGGGCAACTCATACAAAGACGTATTTCTGCACTGTAATGTTCAAATCTGTCACAACACTGCAGGAGTCTGCCAGCCTGTAAGTATTCTCTTAGCACCACTGACTGACCCTGTACTTGTATAACTGTAGAACTTTTCTGAAATATATTTGTGTTGTTTCTTTTAACTCTGTCAGTAGAGAAATATATTTGCTTGGCATTTCACTTAGATTTTTTGATATCATAATGAAATGAAATATTTCCTAGCTTGTAAGTGAAATAATCTCTTTTTATACTTACACTTTTTAAACATTATGTGTAAGAAGTTTGTCTTGTAGATTTATTAGACATTTTATGGATAGTATCTGTTCAGAAATATCACAGGGGAATTATTTTTTAAGCTCTTTTTCAATTTTTTATATTATATGATTGTTATAAGATATTGTTAGATGTAGGGCCTTATTTTGGAGAATTATAGGAGAATATGATTTTTTGACATTTCTTTGAGTAAAGTACAGTAAAAAAATGAATTACTTTCAGTTACCATAATTACCATAAACTATTTAATGCTTCCTTTAAAGGAAGTTATGAAATATGTGCTCTTCATTTGAAAATGATTGATCATTTAACAGAACTGTTCAGGACAGGAAGGTGTAATGCGGACAAGAAGAGATATCACACCATCTCACACTGTGTCGTACGGACCCATAAAACGGCTACTATCCAACACTGACGAACCAGGCCTAAGTAAGTCTATTCTTTATCCACAATTTCTAACATTTCGAAATCCTTATCAAAATAGACTCCTTTTTTTTTTAAAAATACAATATTTTAATCTGCAAACCACTGCGTAAATAAAATGCATTCAAATACTATTTAATAATAGTTGTTGTATTAATTATGATAATCATTATTAATGTATTGGTTGAGGCATTTGAAGGTAATACATCTTATTTCTATTCCATGTGTATTGACATTTGAAAGGTCTAAAATTTTACAAAGCTAATATAGTTTATAATGGTAGCACGGTGGCCTAGTGGTTAACTGCCTCATAGTACTCGGACCCTGGGTTCGATAACACACCTGGGGTGATATCTGTGTGGAGTCTGTATGTATTCCCCATGATTATATGGGTTTCCTCCCACAGTCCAAAGACATACTGGCAGCTTAATTAGCTTCTGGGAAAGGCTATATCCTGCCTTGAGCCTGTTGCTTGCCTCGCAGGCTCTTGCTCCCCTGTGAACTTGTATTAGATAAAATGGTTAATAGCAGAAAAACTGCTTTTAGCATATAAAACACACCTCTGTATTACTGTATAGACAGCAGGATGCACAGAAGAATTTGTTTTAGGTTCTCCTCATCCTTAGAATAAAATATTAGTTTCACTCGTGATTAGTTGATGTGAGTCTGTAATGGGAGTTGTGTTTAGTCTTTGGCATATTATTTTCTTCTGCTGTGGATACCTGGATAAAATAATCATACTTTGACTGGCAGGGGTCAATATCTTTCCCTGAAGAAGCATCTCTGGGAAAAGCACTATAAATACTACTGAGTGTTTCTTGCTCTTTACTGCGCAGGCACCGGACACTTGCCACCAGTGGAAAGCTTAGTGCTCGGAGGACTGCTTTTGGTTGTATTGCTGATCACAGGTGTGTTTGGCAAGCTGTGGCTACAATCGAGAAGAGCTTATCCCACAATGCAGGCTCAGCTCACCTTGTCCAACATTCACCACCACTCTGAGGTTGCCTTTTAACTTGCCTGTCTGTTGACTGAGTTTTGTATCACATTTACTGAACAGTAGCTGGATTTTTCATTGCATACAATGCATTTTTAATGTAGTTTATTTGTATTACAACATATTGTGTGTTGATTTTTATCTCAATCATCTTTGATACCAAGTGACCAAAAAATGTGGGTGTAATAAACTAGTATACTGTAGATAGCAAATTATTTTCACCTTCACATGTGAGATAAATACAATATTAAGCATAAAAGACAATAAATGCTTATTACAAAGTATTATTATTACATTTGTAATATAACCTCATTGGAAATGTGACCTGCACATACAGTATGCTGTTTTCATTATTTTATTTTTGTAAGAAATTGAAAATAAAAAATTAACATGACTAAGTAAATTTCTTCCAAATACCCCAGGTACCAAATGATGAACTAGTTCTTATTTTTCATTAAGAATCTAAAATAAGCACAAAACCCCAACTCTGAAATTCCCACTACAGTGATCTCCCTTGAAAACAAAATCAGACAAATTTACAGTATATCTCTGTAGGTTTATGTCATATGAGCATGGAATTTAGAGACTGGTGGTATACAGCAAAGCATTCTCTCTGTAGAACACAGAAGTTCATTATACCTCTAAATTAGAAAGAAGGGAGGATAAACAGCATCACACACTGAAGACGGATCCACATTGGAGGTGCTGTGACCTTTTTTCTTTCTTCCTCCTTTTCAGTGTGTGATAAACTAAAACATACTCCTTTGCAACTGATGCAGCTCCCCACTTGTTTCTCTCCTGATGCGATTTAACTCTAAAATTTGTGATGAGAGTATTGTTTTCTGAACTATCTTTAGATGGGACTTTAATGCTGTGTTCAGGTCACTTAACCACTCAGACCAGTCATGACTGATGTGTAATATGTAGTTAAGCTATGAAGATTCACTCTACAAAAACTACCATGGTCCCATGAGAGTACTGTGCTAAGATAAAATCAGGCAGAATTCAATCAAAAGTGGTAATTCTGTTTAGGAGCATTCATCCAGAGACAACAGACACTTTCTTTACAGAGAGACTGAGGAATCTGGAACAAACATACACAAATGTCTTGGGATTCCTAAAGAAATAGTTTGATGGGAATCTTGGGTCATTAAGCTATGAGAAAGCTGATAAGGTAGTTGGTGTCACGGATGTCGGAAGGGACGAACCGTGGAATGACAGGAGAGTGAAAAGACCCTATGAGTAGCGGTGAGACGGGGGTTAGCTCGGGCTCAGCTGTTCAGGGAATGCCGTATAGAAACCTATGCCCTCAAGTAGCGGACGTGGGGCGACCTGGTGCTAGGCGGGTCTCAGGACATCTGAACGTCAGTGCTGAGCGAAGGCAGAATGAAAGACCTGGAAATATATAGCCCCAGAGAGAGAGAAACACCGGAAGGACAGCAAAGAACTGGACATGAGAGACAGGACAGAGAAGGAGCGCCCTCTGGCTGCAGAGGGTGTGACAGTTAGGTCAAGCATCTTCCTCTTGTTTGTAATCATTTGTAATTTTCTTACATAGTCTAGGACTGGTGAGTACCAGCAAAGCTCTTATTATAAAGCAGGAAACAGTAGAATTGTGGGTTTTTTTAATTAAACACTCAGTTATTAATATTAATAATTGCTTACACTTATAAAGCAGTTTTCTGGACACTCCACTCAAAGCGCTTTACAGGTAATGGGGACTCCCCTCCACCACCACCAATGTGCAGCATCCACCTGGATGATGCGACGGCAGCCATAGTGCGCCAGAATGCTCACCACACATCAGATATCAGTGGGGAGGATAGCAGAGTAATGAAGCCAATTCATAGATGGGAATTATAAGGATGCCATAACTGGTAAGGGCCAATGGGAAATTTGGCTAGAACGCTGAGGTTACACCCCTACTCTTTTCAAGAAACCCCCTGGCATTTTTAATGACCACAGAGAGTCAGGACCTCGATTTTACATCCGCTTGTTTACAGTATAGTGTCCCTGTCACTATACTGGGGCATTAGAGCCCACATGGACCGCAGGGTGAGAGTCCCCTGCTGTCCCCACTAACACCTCTTCCAGCAGCAACCTTAGTTTTTCTCAGGAGGTCTCTCATCCAGGTACTGACCAGGCTCACACCTGCTGAGCTTCAGTGGGTTGCCCGTTGTGAGTTGCAGAGTGATAAGGCTGCTGGGCACAACAGGGCACAATCCACACTTACACAGAGCACTCACAGAAATATCTTCTATCATGGAGAATGAATAACATACTCAAGATGTAAATTAGGATATGGAGGTTAAACTTGCAGACACAGCTGGGTAGCACAGATCAGAAAATGACACAACTAGGTAAAAAACAGAAGAAATTAAAGTATGTAAAACATGGTTCAGGTTCACAGCTGTGGTTTTTATTATCCCACAAAGGCTCAATCCTGGTGTCCTTAGGGACCATCAGTCTTCTTTACTAGCTCCTAGGCCAGGGATGTATGGGTGGTGGGGGGTTACTGTCTCACAAGTGTCTCACAAATGTCTCCACCATTAGTCTTTATCAAAGCACTACAGGGTGTAATTCTTTAGAATATCCTGGTATAGACCATACTAAATCAGCTTTTAACTCTGCACAGAATGATTTTTTTTTTCAATCCAATGACACATTCCAATCTACGATTTTGCCTCACTGATGTAGCATCACAGATGTAATAACTCCAAGCAAAGCTTGTTTTTCAAAACCCGGTGTAGGCAATTCTACTTTATTAAAGCATCATTTTTAAAGAGAGTTTACACTCTACTGACATTTTTGGTTACGGGCTCTCCACAACAAACGTCTGTTGAATTGCAATATGGCCTGATCAATGGCCCAGGCCCCAGAATAAAAGTTCTGAAGCTCATAAGACTGGAAAGGGTTACAAAAGGTTTTCTTAAGACTTGGGCCTCCATCATTCCAAAGTCAGGCAGATAGTTTACAAATGGAAGAAATTCAGCACCGTTGCTACTCTCCCTAGGCACGAACATACTACAAAGATCAGTGCAAGGGCACGCCGTACAATCCTCAAACAGGTGACAAAGAACCCTAGGTTGACGGCTAAGGATCTGCATCTTTTGCACTTGATAACGTCTGTGTTCATGAGTCGACCATAAGAAAAACACTGAACAAGAGGTTCATGGGAGGTTACCATGGAGGACACCACTGCTCTCCAAAAGAAAACATTGCTGCCCGTCTCAAGTTTCGTAAAGACCACCTGGATGTTCCACAGCACTACTGGAACAATGTTCTGTGGACAGATTAGACAAAAGTTGAGCTTTTTGGTAAATGTACACAGTATTATGTTTGGAGAAATCAAAACACTGCATACAAACACCAAAACCTCATCCCAGCTGTGAAGCATGGTGGAGGGAGTATAATGGTGTGGGGCTGCTTTGCTGCCTCAGCCTGGACAGATTGCAATCATTGAGGGACCAATGAATTCCAGGTTGTATCAGGACATTCTACAGCAGAATGTCAGGGTGTCTGTCTGTGATCTAAAAGTCAAAAGAAGTTGTGTCATGCAACATAACAATGATCCAAAACAGAAGTAAATCAACTACAGAGTGGCTCAAACAGAAGAAATTCAGTATTTTTGAATGGCTAAGTCAAAGTGCTGACCTCAATCCCATTGAAATGCTGTGGTGTGATCTGAAGCAGGCCGTTCAAGCAAGGCATCCCAAAAATGTACATGAACTGAAACAGTTTTGTATAGAGGAATGGACCAAAATACCTCCTAACCGCTGCACAGGTCTGATCAGCAGCTACAGAAAACGTTTGGTTGAAGTTATTGGCAGTAAAGGAGGTTTCACTAGTTTCTAAATATAAGGGTTCACATACTTTTTCCATCAATGACTTTGACTGTTAAAACCACTTGTTCAATAAATATATGGCAATATAAAACGCTATGTGTTGTTTGTTAAATAAGACTGTCTTTATTTATTATTATGACTAAGATGAAGATCAGATCACGTTTGGAGCCATTCATACAGAAATCCATATAATTCCTAAGAGTTCACAAACGTTTTCTCACAACTGTATCTCTCTTTAGCTTTATATATATATATCAGGCAATAAAGTAGCATAGGCATTCAAAAACGGCCAAATAAAAACTGTCTTTTTATATTAATTCATTAGTTCTGATTTTACTAATCATATTAACCGATGACAACACAAACAGTACTCTCTGCATCAAAACATTATATAATAGAACTGTCAATACTTTTAAATAAAAGAAATCAAATATATTCATTAAATCTAAATGAAAAAAATAGCTCTAATTATCTGTATAATTATATTTAAACATAACAATAAAAGGTAAATGTAAGACATCCTCATGAGAAAACAACACACAAGTTGCCTTTAATCAGTTTCCCGACAAGCCGCACTCTGACCGCTGCGCGATGACGTCATAGACTGGCGTCCTGGCCAGAGGAGAGACTAGACCCCGATAGAGGGAGGGAGAGGAAAATTGTGAGACAGAAAAAAGAGAAGAGGCAGAGAAAAGAAAAGCGTCAGTTTTGTCAACTATTGGATAAGACCACCGAAGAAGGAGATACGAAAGTTCAGAGTGACAAAGGAGCGGGTTTGTGGACAGCGAAGGTAGGAGGGGTGTTTAGTTTAGCTGCTATTGTTGATGAAAAAAGTTTAGTCCAATCGAGCAGAGTCACAGCTTGGGGAGACGGGAGTCTTTGCTTTGTCAGGATTTGTTTTCAGCATCAGCAATGAACTCGATTCATGGAAAGTAGTGAACTCCAGCGGCTCTAGCGCTTGAATTTCAAATGTTTTTTTTAACGGAGAATGGGGAAGGTAGTTGACTTTTTATTATAGAAGGGCTCTCGGGTCCTTACTGCGTGAGCCGGTACGCCCGGTTCTGTTGCCCCTTGGCGAAGTTACATGGTGCAGGCCGAGGGGTTTGGGGGAGGGGATCGGGAGTCTTCTGTTAGTTTTCGTTATATAAACAGAAACGCAGACCTGTCAAAATGCAGCACAGACCACTGCGGGGTAAATAAAGGACCCCGAGTTTGTTTAACGATGTTGCCAGTGTCGTGACATTTTAAGCTTGATAAGAGCCATTTGTTTACTTCTGAGGTAGGAACTGCAGTCCACTCGTCACTTAAGCTGTAATGCCGGCTTTTTTTCTTTTAAGCGTGTTAGTTAGTTGTCCTAGGCTTGTCGTCAGAGCTGGTTTTCACTGTTTCAAGCTCGTTATTCTATCACGAAAGACTGTCAAAAGCACAATAACTTTTGAAGTAACGCATGCAGCATGTGATATGTTCTTGACATGTAAAAAGACCACAAGGCATGGTCAATGCTTACATTCAGCCTCTTACTTTGATTAAACATTGTGTGACTTGTTTGTGGCTAGCTCTTTGAAATGTTGTTTCTTTAAATAATATCAAGATCGGAGACGTCTGTGGACTATTTAAGTGTGAAAGGTTATTATTTTCTGATGAAGAGGGGGGAAAAAGGCTCACATTTAATCTCGGTTCGATAAGAGTTTAGATGTTAGCAACTGGACGTTTATGCACAAATTGGCCAGATCCACAATTAAAGAAACATTCAATATAATCATACTTATCAAGTCTTCTGTCTGCACTGGTACACTCAAAATAATTTAAAGTTTAAATTAAATTAAAATTAACGTTTAATTTAAAGTATTTTGAGTTTGGCTTTTCCTGCTCCTTTAACCTGAAACGTAGCAAGCTATTAAGAGATACATCCTTGTTAATGTAACCTGTAAGTGTAATGTAAACACTTAGTTTCATTAATGCCTTCTGATAGTAACTTTCCTTTTGTAGTTGATTGAAATAATTTGAAATGTCTGTTTTGGAATTTTTAAATATAAATCCATTCCATCCACGAAAGTGTTTAGATCTATAATAATCATGCAGCAACTAATCAAATTGTCTAGAGCTGCATACAACACCTGTAAAAAATATAAAAACTGCACTGTTATGATATGATAATACTTTGTCTGATTTCTGAGAAATGTGTTTTGCATTCAGGCAGCCATGTTTTACATGCATAGTGACGTACAAAAAACGTATAAGATTACATAAAAGACATCAATTCATACATAGTCACTATACTTCATTGCTACAGGAATCCACACAGTTTACCAGAACCTGTAAGTTTACTTGCCCACAATCACACAAAGTCCCCATAATTGTATAAAACCTCTTTATTTTTTTGCAGACCCACAAATTATACTTGCGAAAAAGGAATTCATAATTTATTACTTATTAAAACTTACAATTAAAAATAAACATTAAATTGCAGAGTGCTGTGATTGTATTTGATAATTTTGACAATGTAATATGGCAGTTCCTACAAACTTTAAAAATGAAAGTGTTGTTTCATTCTCAGTATGGTGGAGATTTAGTTTTAAAATCTAAAATTTATTTTGTTGCATTTGCAAATGCAGCTTATTAATTGTCCTCACATAAACTTCAGAAACTATAAACATAGAAAGTTTTATTGAAAATTCTATTTATCATATATAATGGATTTCTGTTTATCATGAAACATCTTTAAAATAACCAAGACCTCAACGGGTTGCACTAGTGTACCCATACATGGGGCTTCACAACCAAGATCAGAATGAAAAAACAACAAATAAACAGCACAAAAGTATAACTAAAAATAAAAACTATCAGCTCATGACAGGAAGAAAGACGCTGGGGCACTTACACAGCAGCCAGAAACCTATTTTAGTCTTGGTCTTTCGGCACAACTTATCAATAACGAAAACAAATATATGTTTTTCTTTAATCCTGATCATGGATGTGGAGCCCCAGGTATGAAAACAGTAGTGCAACCCTTTGAGATCTTTATTTTAAAGATGTTCCAAGATGAACATAAATCCAGAAAGATTTCGTCTTACAAGTATGGTTTTACACCCCATATTTATGCCCCTCTCACAACATAGTGAGAAAAAATAGTATTAAAATCTTCTCAGTTTACCTTCTGAATATTATTTTTCATCACACTTTTTTTATTTGGAGAAAGGGATCTCAGTGTGATAAAATGTATAAAATGAAGGTACTGTCTAGTATTGTTTTGCCGTTAACAGGTTTAATGATATCTTTGTCTTGATCGACAAATTATTCTGGAATGTTAATATTTTTGTCAGATGATTTGGCTCAAAATGGCTAGATGCAGTAGGATGCCAAAAGAATGCCAAAATTCTGTAGTAATATTTTCACAGGCTGAAACCTTTTTTTAATCTAACTGTGCTCTGTAAATAAATATTGATTAAAAAACAACAACTTTTTTTGTTAAGCACTTTTCCCTAATTAAATTTATGTATGTGTTTGTCAGTTCAACCAATTTATTAAAAATGAAAACCTTCAAAGTCTAATTTACTTTTTTGAGGGCTTCCCTCAATAGAGTAGCTTCAGTCCCAGTGGCCGGGCCAGATAGTAGGTGATTCCTCTGCTGTGCTGTACATTATTAGCTGTTCCTCATTAGTGCTGCTACAAGTTTGCTGCCAAATGTCAGAGACTGAGCACAAATTTCTCCTATTACTTATAAGCAAGATGAAAGCTTGATGTTTTAAAAAAAATAATATACCAGTAATTTATTAAATGTATGATAGCCTGTACATTTTCCTGAAATTACTGAAAATGGTCTTTCTGATGTAACCTTGAGGTTTTAAAAAGTGCAGTTAACAATAGGATATTACTTGGTAGATGCTGTGCTTTAGACACTCATCTGATCTTGCTCTAGGAACAAGGGTCATAGCCCTCTAACTGGGATTATTTTTAGTATTTTGCTGCAAGTTCAGTCAAGCTCTTGTGCTTCTTTCATTACCAGAGATGTTGACACTTACTCAGCAAGTGAAATACAGCTGTTTTTGTGTCAGCTGCATTGGTCTGCTTGATGATGCAAGTTCAGTTCTGTGCGCTATTTCTGTTTGTCAGATGGTGTGCCATAGGCTTCTGAGAACCCCTGCTGAAGTTTACATTTCACTTATTATGGGTTGGAATCCTCTTCACATTTTTTCATCTAAGACTTCCATGTCTTTCAAGACTTTTAAAATACAATTTTCTGTAGTGAACAAATCTGAATGTTTCAGCTACATCCTGAGAGGAAAAAACAAATCAGTGCAACATCCTATACAATGTCTTTAAATCTTAATTACCAAAATCTCTCTATATATAACAAATAATGTGAAAAAATATTGTAGTGCAGCATTCCACTTTACAGAATGGCAGAACTTTGTCATAGTAAAAAGTAATGCTTTGAATTGATTCTTTTTGAAGCAGTTGCCTCAACTTCTTGCATACTGAAATGGCTCTTATTTGGTGGCAAAAGGTAGGTGAAAGAAAGTTTTGATTTCTTTATGTATACCTAATGTTAAGGAGAGCTTGTTTTTAAATAACTTCACGGATATGTGTGAGGTTGACTACAAAAAGGGTGTGAACCATTTTCCTAAGACATATGCCAAGAGCCAAGATAAATTGCATAATGATTGCTGGGTGTGAAAACATTATGTCAACAGGTATGAAATGTGTTAAAATACTATTTTAATCACAAACTGTATGATTGTGTAAAGGTGATAATCCTTTGGATTAGAGTTGGATGAGTTAACCAATCAATAGTGATCTACAGGAGACCACTTGTACACCTAAACCAATTGAATTAATAAAGTTTATTTACTATAGCACACACTGTGGTTAAAGGAAGTTGTTAGGTTCTTCTGTGAAGATGCATTTTAAGAACATTTAGTAATGTGAAATTGCAAAACCTTGGGTGGAGCAGTGGTACTGTGGCTAAGGATCTGTGCCTGCGGCTGGAAGGTTGCCGGTTCAATCCCGTAGCTGGCAGAGGAATCCTACTTCGTTGGGCCCCTGAACAAGACGCTTAACCCCAGCTGCTCCAGGGGTGCCATATAAATGGCTGACCCTGCGCTCTGACCCCAAGCTTCTCTCTCCCTGTCTGTGTGCCTGTATGTCTCATGGAGACCAAGCTGGAGTATGCGAAAAGACAAATTTCTAATACAAGAAATTGTATATTGCTAATAAAGCTATCTTATTTTAAATGAGTACTTATCAATGGACACTTTCTGGCACTGGATATTTTTTCACTTTTTTTAGATATTTTAAAAGCAGTTAGACATGATAATGGATTTTAAAAACATGACAAATGTTCAAGTCCTCAATTTTTGGCAGCAGTTACAGGCTGAAACGTTCCTAATGCATTGCTGATGTTATTCTTAGAACCAACGTTGTGATTTAATTTCCAGAAAGCTTTCTGAAGTCCATTTATAGAAATAAGGATTCTGGATATTGTTGTTGTTATATGAAATGAAATGATAATCATTGAAGAGGAAAATGTTGCTTTTGGTGCAGGGATGTATGTATCTGTTTTTAATTATTTAATTTGGAATGCTTAAGAATATGTCACTTATCAATAGAGAAATTGTTACTATTACATTTTTGTAAACACATGTTTGCTATGCATTGATTGTATTGGTTAGGCACAGGAAGGCAATAAATAATTATCCCTCCTCTGCTTACAAAACAACATGAAGCAGCTGTCCCTTGAGAGGGAAACTGGACTTAATTTTCAAGAAATATTCCATTCTTCATTGTGGTGTATTACTTTTCTTTTATGCAGTCTTTACTGGTAGGCCTTAAGCTTAAAATGGAGTGTATGAGAGTTTAAAAGGATAAATTGTCTAAAACAAAAAGCCTTAAATATTTCCTATTATAGTAAATGTAAAGTTTCTTTGGCACTATTTGTTGTATGACATTGTGAACAGTAAATCTCCAGATTAGGCCTACAACTAATTCTCACTTAATTGTCTTCCAGGGCTGGTGACCCCCAAAATGGAGGTGCAGCAGCACGTACACTGCATGAACTGTGTCAACCGGAGATGTATGGCCAGGCTGGAGACTGGAGTTTCTTGTGACCTAATTGGTTGTCCTTTAATCTGTGGAGCTGTTTTCCATTCATGTAAAGTAGATGAGCATCGCCTGTTGTGCCCTCTTGAAAGAGTGCCTTGTTTAAACAGTGGATTCGGATGTCCATTTATAATTGCAAGGAACAAAATAGCCGAACATCTTGAAATATGCCCAGCAAGTGTGGTCTGTTGCACTATGGAATGGAACCGGTGGCCAGTGAGCTACGCAGATCGGAAATCTTATGAGAACCTAAGCAAAGACGTTGATGATGTAGAACAACTTGATATGGCATTAGCACTGCAGGATCAGCGAATGCTTCTAGAATCGCTTAAAGTGGCCACCATGGTATCCAAAAATGTTGACAAACAGCCCAGTACCAGTGAAAAGATGCCTATGGCATCCAGCATACCAGAAGACAAACCTGCAAATGGAATTTTTGCTATGGATGCAGAATCATATGGTGAACTTTACAGAGCTACAGTAGAGACTACGAGAAGCTTAGCTGCAGCCTTGGACATACTGAGTAATGCAACACGGGATATGGACTTAATCAATGGAAGTCTTCCTGAAGAAAAGAGTGAAAGGAATGGTGATATCCATGTGAAGGATGAAGTAAAAGCTTTGGACTTGGAAAATGTTGAGATGAAAGAGCATGATGAGTCTGGATTTGAGCTTGGAGCAGTTGGTGGAGTGGATCATGATGTAGTAGCAGAAGCACTGAGTGATAGAAAAATGTGGTCAGAGCAAAATGGATTAGAGTTTTTAAAAGAAGAGGTAGAGGGGGGAGAGATAATGAACATCGTTGAGAGGATGAAAAATCAGAAAACCCTTTGTAATGGATTTCACAATGCAGAAGGCATCCAGGATGAATTGGAACAGGAGGAAATGGATTTAGAAGAAGCTGAATCGAAACACTCTGAAATCAATGGGTCTTGGGCAGTCAGCATGCCAGAATGTAGGTCTATGATGACTTATAATTCCATACCTGTTGTAGTGCAGGAACCTTCTGGTTCTCGGCCATCACCTCCACCACTACCACTGCCTGAAATCCTGCAAAATAATGCCCTGCAGTCCTTGCCCATTGACAGTGAGGACAGAAGGTTTGAACGCAAGTTACAGAATCTCCAGTTTCTTAGAGGGATGAGCGTATTTACATTTAATGGACGCAGAACTCTATTTACTGATCCATATTCATTTCGTGCAAAAATGGAAGACAAAGCTGTTGACACCTCTGACCTAGAAGTGGCAGATGATCCAATGGGTCTTCATGGAATTGACCTTATCACAGCGGCCTTACTCTTCTGTCTGGGTGACTCACCTGGTGGCAGAGGAATTTCAGATAGTAGGTTTGTTGATGGTTATCGTATTGACTTTGGTACACAAACCTTTTCGTTTCCTTCTGCTATCTTGGCAACAAACACCATGGTGGGTGAAATAGCTTCAGCTTCTGCTTGCGATCATGCAAATCCACAACTTTCCAACCCAACCCCCTTCCAGACGCTCAGGCTGGACCTGGTTCTAGAATGTGTGGCTCGATACCAAACCAAGCAGCGATCTATGTTTACTTTTGTTTGTGGGCAGTTATTTAGGAGAGATGAATTTTCCTCTCATTTTAAAAATGTTCATGGAGACATTCATGCTGGCCTGAATGGTTGGATGGAACACAGATGCCCTTTGGCTTACTATGGCTGCACCTACTCCCAAAGAAGGTTCTGCCCCTCTGTACAAGGTTCTAAAATTATTCATGATCGACATCTAAGATCATTTGGAGTCCAGCCTAGTGTACCTGCACTGTTGACGGAACCCATTTCCAACAACACTTGCTCATCTGGGTCTCACTATGACCATTTGAGTAATCTTCCATTTGAGGTTCTGCAGCACATTGCAGGGTTCCTGGATGGCTTCAGTCTGTGTCAGCTGTCTAGAGTATCACGGATGATGAGAGATGTGTGTGCTAGTTTGCTGCAGGTTCGTGGAATGGTTATTCTTTTGTGGGAAAAGAGGCAATATCCAAATGGACCTTCATCTTGGCAGATAAAAGACAAGGTTGGTAACTAAATGTTGGCAAGACACATCACCTAATTTGAAAAAGCCTTCAGATCTGTCCCATTTTCCATTTCTGCAAACAGAGATAGCCTGGTGAAACTGTAAACTACTTTTATAGAAATTGTTAGTTGCAGTGGTTGTATGTAAGAGAGTGAAAAATGCTATCTTGACAATTTGAATACTTTATTCTGCTCAAAATAATAAGTAAAAGCACAAAATCAATGTTTTTGGTTTTATCAAGAAATCAATATTTTTACACATGCTTCCTATTTCTGTGTTGTAATTCAGGCCTGCTGAATATGTTTTCTAATGAGGTGAATATATAGATGAGTACCTAATAATGAAAAGTGTTAATTACTTGTTTAATTGTGCATTTCCCTAGGTGTGGAGATTCAGTACAGCTTTTGGGACTGTGCACGAATGGAAGTTTGCTGACATTACTAGTATGGCTGACCACCTGAAGAAGTGCAAGTTCAATACTGTGGAACGAAGAGAAGAGGCTATCCCTTTGCCTTGTATGTGTGTGACAAGGGAGCTAACTAAAGAAGGACGATCCCTGCGTTCAGTTTTAAAGCCAGTATTATGAAAATACATCTTCTAGTCTGCATCTTCCACTCTGATTAAAGAGCTATAACACTCAACATAACCTCTTTGTAATTTGATACTTTTATCAATGTACTGCAGATTATGTATACATAAAAATGTCACTGTGTATATAAACTGTTTTGATGTTAAAATTATTTTTTATATAAAAGTACTGTGCTGTATTAAAGTTTAAAAGAGGAGCCTTAATGTATGAAATAACACTTGACTTGCTGGAAATAAGTTTCTTTTGATCTTTATCATTAATTTCCCCTGTGGGACTCTGATATCTTTGTATATTGTTATGTTATTCTGCATGGTTTGATATTTAATTAGTACCCTTTGGGTAATTTAAAATGTTAAGAATATGCACACACTAGCAAGAAACTCAAGGAAATTTTATTTTGTCTTTTTTTTTTAAAACTGACCAAATGAAATGTGCATTTATCACTTGTCTCAGTATGTGAAGTGCATGTATTTGTATAATCATTTTTACTAGCCATATCTTGTCTTGTACCTTACCATTGAATCTTAACAGCTAAAGGAGTTAGGACAGCATTTAAGGCTCAAGAGTTTTGTTTTAGTCTAAAAACAAGTAGGACATGAAGTCTTGCACCTAACATTTATGTTGATGATAGGTTTTGTTGCATGGTGAGAGTTTGCAGGATATTTTCACAGCAAATTGCAATGTTGTGTTATGCAGATCTTTTACAATATTGTTTTGGAGTTCTATACAGTGCACATAATTATTTCATTGTAATGGTAAATTAAAACAAATACAATACTGTAGTATAAAGATGATCACCTAGCACTTTATTTCCTAAGTGTAATTTTAAGTTAACTTTTAATTTGTAGTGCACCTCAAACCTTTCTTTAACACCGAGGAAAGACAGGAAGGATTTTTGTATAAAAACCCCAAAGTTGCCCTCATTTTTCTTGTGTGTATTTACATACACAGAATTCTGCAGTGGACTGCTTTACTACCTGTTCATGCACATGTTTCAAGCAGTAATGTATGTACTTTGTGTGCAATTCTCAGCTGCTTTTTAGTGCTATGATTGAATCTGCAAACTGGACACAAAGAGAGTAAAGAAACACATGAGAGAAAAAAAATTCCTGCTGCTTAACACTGGGGTGAAGTAGTTATTTTTTGTTTGCTCCTTGGAAGAGCAGTCAGAATCGTGCATGATGTGCCCTTCACCACCACTGCCATCTTTTAAAAGTAAATGAGTAGTGGGGAAGCTATTGTTTGGAAACACAGTTACATTTATCTAGATACCTCTGACTGGAGGTGAAAGCACTTTAACAGTAATGTTCATCACAGGTGCAGTGGGCATATCTAAATGCATGTGATTGTGTTGCTGTTTAATAAAAGGAATGTACAATCCTACTGCATCTTCCTGATTTTTTTATTACAGTCCCCATTCATGAAAAGGCAAGGTAAACAGAAAGAGCAAGGTTTGTAGGAATACAAGGACTGTACTATTTCTCTACAGCTCGTATCCTCGGAACTTGTGAAAATGGAATAACAAGAAAGATTCAATTTGTGCAGCCTTTGGCGCATAAAATAAAAGACCATAGTGAATTTGCTCCCTATGTGTCCTGTATGCAAAATCTAAACAACTTAAATTTTTGGTGGTTCAAGATTTATTTTTTTGTCCCCAATATGCCCCCCCTGATTGGTGTTTCTGTATAAACAGCTCCCTGAAGCTTTTTTTAATTCTATTGTATAGAAATAGGTTTTGAAGCTTGCTTAGGACATTTTGTATAACTTTTATTTCATATAAGTGGATAATGGCTGCTTGTTGCTGGGCATATAATGAAATGATCGCAACTTGATTTCAGGAACTTATACAGGATACCATACAGTATTATTTAGATTTTTTTGTGGTTTGAAACGATTAACACTATCCCTAAATGGGGATTTAAAGTTTACAAAAGCTGAAATATATCCGTCTTAATACATTTTAAAGAAATGTGGAATCAATTCATTGATGTATTCAGATGAGTTAGGTTTGCCTTTTATATTCATATCTAATACATCAGACTTTAGATGAGTGCACTGCAGACATTTGATGAGATGTACAATCTGAGAAACCATGGTATTTAAATTGATCAAAATATACACAAGACAATTAGGATATGAACTGCTGCTAAAGAAGTGGAAGCTGGGTTTGTGATTAATATAATATTACTTCTTCCTCTTGCTAAAGGTCAGAGTTTTGGTTGAATAGACATAATTGCAAGAGTATTGATTTACATCACCCTGCTGGGTTGTTAGTGTTAAATCAAATTAAAATTTAGGATTGCTCTTTGAAAATATTTTTGGACTTTAATTATTACCATTCTTTTTAGGATTCAACAGATGATTAAGTTTATTTTGAATACAAAATGTGTCTGTTTTTTATATAATTAAAATAACAGCTTTATAGAAATTGAGACTGGCAAATGTTACTACTCTTGAATAGCTTTGAGGCATTTTTGGAAGGTGGAAAATAAAATTTGATTTGAAATTCAAATCAAACCCACGAGATGAAACGAGACCTTTTTGTCTTAAATACTGAATGTGTTAAAGGTTTTCTTACGGCAATGAAAAGAAAATAATGAATTTTCCTTGTTTAAATATTCTTTATAAAAATCAATTTAATGTAAGTAACAAGCTTTTGAAAAATGGTCATTTTCAGATTGTAGTAATAATTTGATCTAGGAGGAGGAACAAGTAAAGGTTTATTCCATGCTGAAAAGAGAAGAAAAGAAATGCAACTTTCAGCTGTGTGATCTATGCAGAATATATATTTGAACACGCTTTGCGTCACACGTATTAGTCTTCCTTTTAGCTTCACAGAATTCATAACGAGTGTGTGATATACTACTCAGAATCCTGTGTTTCTCTCCCTGGTGTATGGTCATGTTCCCTACTTACCCCTGTCTTCATTGAAGTGAGAGTAGGAATGTGATTTAAGTCATCCAGGAAGTGTTGCTTCTTTGCTTGTGGCCCTGAAAACCTGTGGGAAGATTTGTTATAAGAAACATTTATGTCATTTGTTTGAAACTGTTGATCATACAATCATTAAAAACTCCTGCGGTTTGCAGTGATCCTTTTATTAGAGTTGGTTGTCTTGATGGTTGTAACATTCAATGCATATACCTGTTATAATTTTGGTTAATAAAATTTCCTTCACCCAAGAGTCCTAGGCCTGTAGTGTTCATATATACACATATTCTCTTGCAAAATGAAAAGCTATCCTTTTTAAATAAAAATATAGCACAGCCAATGGCATCACATTAAGTACAGTTGTGAACTCCTACTATAAGCATAATAAATGCTTGGGCTGTCTACCTGAAACTTCAGTTTGCATAATAAAGTTTGCATAAACAAATTCAAATTAAAGCAATTCCATGTTCACTTTTTTAGCTTGAGCAATTTGTCCCTTAGGCTTTTCTTAACAATACTAGATCTACAGTACTAAATTATTATTCAAAACATCATACATACAGTATGAATGTAAGTCATTTAAAGTGCAAACAATCCACAACATACTTGAAATGGGGAAACATCCATTACCTTACCATTTTAATCACGACCTGCCTAATTTACTCATTAACCTGTTTCAGATAGGAGGCACCATCCTCCTGGGAGAGTATTTAACATACTGTACATAGCCACACTGAAATTAGGTTAAGTCATTTGTTTTATGGAGTTCATTTTCAGGCTTTTATCCACCAACAAAAGAAACTGAGCTGCCTTGTGTCCCTTCTTGGCAGCTGGTGCTTAAAAAATAATCAGAGTACTATTCAGTGGAGAAGAGAGTTCAGTTCTGGCAAATGCCAAGCATAAGATGATGGTACTGTATGACATACCTCGGAAATAAAACTACTTGAAAGTGACAACAGATCATTCAGCTTCCCTCAAGGGAACGAGGCCTAACCCGCACAACCTGTCAGTAGCTACCATTACACATCTATTTCTCCGGAAAGTGCCCACGCTGAAATTTTCACAGTTGCAGAAAAATGTGGATGAGGCCACAATTAAGCAAAGTTTTGATCCTGTGCCTAGTCAAGTTTAAAAATAATTGTATGATCGTATTTTAACCTCTAATTTCCCATTAAAATTACCTCTCTAATACAGAAGTGTTGATTTGAAAGCTATAGAACCCTATACTGTATATCTTAACATTGTAACGTTGAAAAATATATTTTATAACCAGTAAAATATAGACATAATCGCTCCCTCATGAGGAGTAAGCGCTTAGAAAAAGACATAGAAATGGATATATATACTGTATAGATAGTGGATATAGAAATAAGTTATTGATATACTTAAGTACTAAATCTTGTTAACCAAGTCACCCCTTTGCATAATTGATTTGAAAAATTCTTCATCTGTTTTGCGCTAAAGAACAATATATTCATGTTGACTACTGATAACAAAACAACTCACGTAATTATTTTCCTCTTCTTTTCCATTCAACATAAAAGTAGTATTCTGTAAAGTACAGTAATAATTTTATTTTTAAAAACAGCAAACGCAATAATTAAGACAATTAAGACATAATGTTAACACATTAACGATTTAAAAAATTTAACATATTTAAAAACTAAAATATATTGCGTAAAGGCAGGTTGTCTTCCCAGTCCAAAGATGGCAGTATCGTACACATTAAGATCAGCGTTCCTTGCCTTGCATAGCAGATTTGTGACTTTGTTGAGAAGGTTTAAACGGCTCTTTTGCTTACGGTAGTTCATTAATATGTTGTATTTCTCAATATTTATCAAATCTGAGAAATAAAAAGAAGGGAAGGCGAAGAAGAACAGTTTGTCTTTTACCAGCCACGGTACAGCTTAAATACCGGCTGTTTACATTTTAGCAGTTTATTTTTAGAAGGTAATAATTCGGCCATTAAATCAAGGTAGATTTATCGTACTGTAGAACTGACGTTAGAGAAGTATTTATACTAATGTATATATATTTTTAGCTTCATAAAAAGATATCATAGGCATAGAAAAAAACTCAAATTTGATCCTTGATTATACATTAACATTAGCTTTATTGTCGCGTAGTTGAATTACACTGCTATCGTGGCCGGCTGTTTTAGTGTCCCGTCCGTCTTGTGTTTTCTGTCTCACGAGTAGAAGATGATGTTGTTCAGATTCGGTGTCATACTGACTCCGGAATGCGAGGACATAGAAGTGTTCGTGCTGGGTTCGAGGCCAGAGATGGGCGAGTGGGATCCTAATAAGGCAGTGCCAATGAAACCCGCGCAGACTGTTCTGTCAACATGCGAACCTTTTTTCTGGATGGGAGAGATTCTCCTGGAGGAGCCCTTCAAGGACACGTTCTGGTTTAAATACATTAAACGAGTCGGCGGCAACTTCATATGGGAAGGTACTGCACTATGTTTCCCCAGGAAGCTAATTCTTTATATCTGAACTCATTTCCCCATCTTTCCTTTCCGGTTTTATTGCGATAATAGTGTTTTAATTGTAATTAATAATTGATGTGTTTATATAACCTTACATAAATCAGTGTTTTTTTTTTACATAAAATATACGTTATATAAAATGAGGCCTTTTTGATTTCAGTCAAAACCATGAATTATCATTAATTATGATTAATCCCATGTACTTAAATGTACAAACTGTTTAAAAAGCACGTGCTCTAACACAGTTGATGTGATGTAACATCAGTAACAGATATGATGTTACTTTAGTGACATTTTCTCTTTAAGTGTTCATTGAAGATATCAATATTGCACTCAGTGTTCATTTTGGTAACCTTGGATGTGCAAGAGGTCACAACGCAGGATGTCTTGTGGTCTGGTTACATAAGAACAAGAACATACAGTACGAGAGGCCATTCTGTCCATCTAGCTTGTTTGTGTATTTTCAGTAGCCAATTGATGAAATGAAATCCTGGTCACTCTTGAAAGACGTCAAGGTATCAGCTGTAACAATGTGGTGACTTGTTCCATACACGCACAACTTTTTGTGTAAGAGTGCTCTTGTGTTTCAACAGGTAATTGGGCCAAGGGTCTCATCAATAAGCCACGTCAAAGGTTTTTGAACAGCTACAGTAGTAGTTCAGCTTTAGGCTGAAAGAGATATAACACTACTATTTTTTCTCATTCCCTGGTAAAGGCATCTTTTCTAGAAGTATAAATTGACACCTGGTGTGACGGTTATGTCAGCTCTTAAACTTTTTATTGTGTTAATAACACATTCAGGATCCCTATTTGCAGCACTAGTGTGCATGCAAAGAGAGATGGCCTCATTTAGTAGCATACGCTACAGACCAAATGTAAAACACAAACAGAAAGTACGGTTCTTTGCTTAAGCTTTATTGATGAGAGTCATTATAACAGCAGTAAGAAAAACTGTGTTTTTATGTATTACAACTTTTTTTATATGTGATATCTGTCCTGGAATACTACAGTAGTGTGGTGGTTTGTTAGTGAGAGAAATTTTAAGAGGTAGAGTCTTAAGTAAATGGAAATTATTTAAAAATAAACAATTATAATGTAATTCAAAATAATTTAAGTCCCAATAATATAGTTATTACTGCTGAAATTATTATTTTGTGCCACAGAATTAATCTTTTGTATATTAATGGGATAAACTAAATAATATCTCATAAAATAAACAGTAATCTGTTTTAATTTTAGGCACTTATATTCCAGTTCACTGGTACTGTATATTTCATCAGTAGCAAATAAGCTAATGCCTTCATCCATCAATTTTTTAACCTCTTCATCCAATTCAGGGTCATTAGAAAGACCAGTTCTATCTTGGAAAGCCACAGGTACAAGGCAGGATACACCCTTGATGGGACACCAGTCCATCTCAAGGTACGCACAGACACAAACAAAGACATACATGCAGTTTCACCCCATGATTTGAATCTGGGACCCCAGAACTGCAAGACAACAATTCTAAGCATGTGCTACTGTGTTGCCCCTCTGTTAATCATTCTAGTGAATTAAAACTGAATGTTCGTGATGTTTGAGTCAGAATTAGTCATAATAATATAAAACTGCTTGAGGCAAATTTTGTAAACTTTTGAAGCAAATGTTGTAAACATTTTTAAACTAAAAAGAACATTTTGTTTCAGTCTGTTCTGGATAAAGTGGTACATGTACAGTACACTATAATTATATTGTGAAACTTTCCAATTTAAAAGGTTTATACATGACCATTAGGTGTCAGTAGAAAGATAGTTAAATTGTTTTAATCGGGGTCTCAAATGAACAATAAAGTACAGTTTTATTTAAAACAATGTTGAGTGCTTTGTATAAATTAAAAAGTGTGTGCGAAGGAGTATCATAGATGTACACCTGAAACAGGAAATTAAAAACAGAATTTACAGAAAGGCAATTAGGTTTTCATTAACATATTTAAAAGTTAAAGTTGAAAGTCTAAGTATTGCTTATATGTTTTTCAGAACTGTAAGTGAAAACACATATTTCATAACTTGACTTGTGCTTTGAAAATTATTTTTTTTTACTTTTTTGTTATTTATCATGTCAGTTGTATCAGTATTACGGCTTATACTTCATTTCTGTGTTGATTACCTGTACTTACTACTGACATCATCTACATGTATATAAACTCTGGATATTCTGCAATGTAACTTGTAGTTACTGTATGTATTGACATCCATTTTTGTCTGTTCAGTTCTAATAATTTGTTAGGTTAGGTTTGTCTCAGTGTGATATTCCATGAACTCCCTAAGGACTGGTTAGCAGGTGAATCTAAAGGTTTGAGGAAAGCTGGATTCCTGAAATTACCCAGTCTCTCACTATATGCAAGTGTCCTTAGACCCCCTACAACACTATCGGCAAATCGTCCACACTTAACGAAGTACTCTGCTTAAGTAATGAAATGTCCCAATTAAAACGATGATCAGTATTTGTTATCTGCGTTTCTAAAACTGCCAAAATGAGTTGATTAACAATTTGTGTGAACAGTCTTTCAGAAAGATAGAATATGAATGCAAGAACAGCAAAATATATTTTGAAAATCACAAAACAAAAACACTGAAAGATACCAATACGCACCATGTGTTAAGAGAGCAATGCTTTGTTAGCATTGGTACAGTATGTTTGAAGTAGGACTAACTCCACGCATTGTGCTTGTTGTCTAAGGTGTTAACAGCTAGCAGTTTCTAACCTGGCTGACTTTGCAGCCAACCATAGTATGCTGGGAGACATTACACTTCACCAAGACTGATGGAGAGGTAAAGTGTAGTGGTCTGGCTAAGAGTGGCTAGTTGCTACAGTATTTAATTTACAGTGATTAATGGCATCCTGACAAAATGCCACTACATTGATCAATGTCTATGCAAGCCCATCCTGACATGATGTTCATTGGTGTGTATTTTGGTTACATATTTTGTGATTTCTGTGTTTAAAATAACTCATGACATTGTTTAGATTAAGCATTATGTGCATTTATTTTGCATATACATGATATCTCATTTATGCAAAAGCAAAGAGAAAACCTTCTACTCCATATTTTACTGGACATACAGTACTACTGTACACAAAAATGTGACAGGTCTTTCCTTCCATATTTAATCTTGCCATTGAAAAAAACTTCCAAGATATTGATTTGTACGTACAATTATTCCTCTGTGCTTTTTTGACCACTCTTCTGTGTGTTGTTTAAGTTCAAAACTGGCTGGGAGACCAGTGAGAAGGATAGCTCCTGTTTTCCTCATCTGATTGAAGACTTTCATGTGGCAGTTACAGCATCTCTGTCTCAGAGATGCATCTTGTTATTCTCGTAAATGGTGAGATTTAAATCCTGAGCAGTTTGACTGGGGAAGTTGTTTTTGCATTGTAAGTCTGACCTCTTTTCTTGCCCCCATTACATTGAGCAGCAGCATAATAATAGTACTTGGCTTTTAGAAACAAAGGTAGAAGGGGACTCATTGCATCCGGCACTGAAACACAGTACCCTCTGGGACTGTGTGCATAAGGCCGTGGAGTCACCTTTAAGAAGAATCTCTCAGCACCTGTTTACACATTTTACTTGGGGCTCGTACTGTATGTGGCAGTGCAAACCACTAACCATTAGGGGGTGCTACATCATTAAAGATACAAAGTAAAGTACGACATATAATTACCACCCAGTAAGTGCACATGTGTGTCTATATAACATTTCTTTTTTAAGGTGTCAAAATGACTGGAAATAACATAGTTGAACTAGAAGAAAACAGACTGCTGTGTTGTTTAAAATAGAAATTTCAGGAAAACATTATGAGAGAAGTGCAGCTGAGAGACCAATCACTCCACAGATGATCTCCGCAGGCACTCATTTCCTGTTCTGCATTTTGTGTTTATGCTTAGCATGCTGTGCAAATTACCAAATAGAAAATCAATTGTAAAAAGCAAATTAATGAAGTCCTGTTTTCTCATTCTGTTTTTGTTTGTAATCTATGTTTTGCTGACAGGTTTTATTCACAATAATGTTTCCATGTATGCCTATTTGAGTTTTACAAGTTACTAACATTTATAACTATTTATAAGGTCTGTTGTCTTTTAGGTTGAAGTGATGTCAAGGGTAGAATTTGTGAATACAAAATAACTATCAATGTTTCATGAAAAAGTGACAGTAAATATTCAATGATATCCTTGATTCTGTGCTTCTAATTTCCCTTAATTGTAGAAAGTTGAGTAAGGAATAAGACAGACACTGAAAAGGTTTGAGCAGCATGTCTAGAGAGTTATTTAATAATTGAAATATTTTGATATGTTGTATAACAACATCTAACAGAACTTATTTTTTGTAAGATGCGTCTTTAATATTGATATTTTTCCCTGGCAGCTGGAGGCTGCCTCTTTGGTGGAAATTCACCGTTATGGTGGCATGGCTCAGGAATTATGTCTGAGAGACAGTGAACGAGATGGGCGCACCAGAAACCCAAGCTTTCATTTTGAAGTCTTGAAGAATGTCAGAATGCTTCCATACTTAGCAGCATGTATCTGAAAGAAAGGATATTTGTCCTCTTGCATATTATTTTCAAAGTTAGGAATTTTGTTTTTGTAATAAAAGTGTAAATCACATTATTGTGCTTAATTCAGTGGAGGGGCAAGTGATATCAATATTACATGAAATATTTGTTTTAAATAATCCCTGAAAGAAATTAAAACAGGATTCTATAGGAGTCTGAACATCAGTGCATTTAGAACTAAAAAAGGGTGCTCTTTCTTACACAAAGTGGAGTCTGGAGGACGTTATCCAGCCATGTTCTTATATCATGTTTTGTGTGATGATTTTGTGAAAAGCAAGTTTTCAGTAGTAATTGCCTATTGTTTTAGGCCGATAGTTGTGCTGGGTAATCTGCAACAGCTTTCTCCACCTGGGAATTTAAACCCATAACCCCTG